GCTTTCAGAGTATAATTTCTATATCTGATATTATTCAGATTAGCTTAACTCTGCTGATATACTGTCTAAGCAGCCTGATTATAATATTGTTGATATAAAGAAGAATTCTATAAAAGAATCTCTGTTATCACTGCAGAAGAAGCTGGCTGCAGAGGGTTGAGATTCTCTAAAGCTCAGAAACAGTGCTGAAGAGGCAGCTGTGTGACTCAGTATAGAAGGTGAAAGAGAACTCAGATCTCTGTAAGAGACTGACACTGAAGATTATAAGCTTCTTGTGTCATATCTTACAATTATTGAATTGATAAAGAATGAAACAGTCTACAATCTTTTAACTTAACTACTTTTGAAATTCATTGATAAGTTACAGAAGAGGAACATCTCTACTGCAGCTTAAATTCAGAAGTTGAAGAAGAAAGAATTCAGTTTGAACTTGAAAGAGACAGGCTCTGAGCAGAGCAGTGCTGCTAAGAAATCAAGTCACTGATAACTAAAAGAATGTGAACTTCTACTGCTGAATGATTCAGTCTTTATCTCTTATAGCAGAGCAGTGTGTCAGAAGTTATTAAGAATTCATTATAATAATTCTTATACAGAGCACTTCAGATTAGAGAAGACTGAGAAGCTTCTAAAACATAAATATATTTAAGACAAGCTTCAGACAGATGTTAAAGAGTATATTAAAACTTATAATATCTGTCAAAGAATAAAGATTTTATAGTATAAGTAATACAGTGAGTTAATATCACTGTCTGTTTCAAAGAGCTCATGACAGAATCTATTAATAAATTTCATAGTTGATCTGCTGAAGTTGACAAGAGTTAAAGAATATAACTTGATTTTGATTATTATTAATCACTTTATAAAGATGATCAGATATATCTCTACTTATAAAAAGATTAAAGTCTCTGAATTGACTGATCTGTTTTTAGATATCATCATTTATAATCACAGTGCTTTAAAATTGTTAATAACAGATCAAGAATCTCTCTTCATCAGTAAATACTGATTAACTTTTTACTATTATCTTATAATAAGATGTCTTCTCAGTACTACATTTCATCTGCAGACTGATGATCAGACTGAATACTAGAATCAGATACTAGAACAGCATCTTTGAGTGTTTTATTCATATTATCAGAATGATTGACTTAAATATCTTCTGACTACTGAATTTGTATATAACAATATAAAGAATGTAATCTTAAAGATATCTTCTTTCTATGCTTATTATGAATATAATTCTTCATTACTCAGTGATGTCGCGGACAATGTTTCAAAGAGAGAGATAGACAGTTAGAATATTGAATAGATACAGAGAATGAAGTATCTCTCAGTATCAGAAGTAAAAGTGAGATTGAAACTTTTGAATAAAATTCATGAGAAGACAGTGAAAAGCATCTGCTGTGTCTAGAAGTGATAGATAAAATACTATAATTAAAAACATTTTTCAATGAAGTTCTTAATAGAGAATTAAGTGCTACTTTCAGCAAAGAATATCAAGATAACAAGACTATATAAGAAGCTCAGTGAGTGATAGCTAGAATCTTTCTCAGTAACAAGAGTAATGAGTAAGCAGATATATGAGTTGAAATTACTCACAGAATTAAAATCAATTTATTCTGTTTTTCACATTTTCTATTTAAAGCTCTATAAGTAATACTCTGAGATGAAGCTGTCTCAGTTGAATGATATCAAGATTAAGAGTGATACTGAATATCTTATGAAGAAAATATTAAATAAGTAAATATATTACAGTAAGCTTCAATATCTTGTTAAATAAGAAGATTATTCATTATCAGAGAATTTATGAAAACTGCTTAAGTATTTGAAAAATGCTGAGAAAGAGATTGCAATCTATGAGATAACTAGTAGAGATCACTCTGTTATATATCAGAGACATTGAATAAGAAATACTGCTTAAGACTTCTCATTTTTCTCAAAGAGTTTTTTAGAGATAATCTTGTGATGATGAGCTGATATCTTATAGACTCTGTAGCACTTTTCTTCTATTTTCTCTTAAAGAGTTTTTAGAAGTTTAATAAGACTATACAAGTATAAAATTTCTGAAGCAGTTAATAAGAAAAGAAAGAGATATTTGAAATCAATAAAAAGATTAATATTAATTGACTCACAGACTGCTGCTAATCTAATGAGACTGCAGCTCACTGAAAAAGTAAAAAGAAGAAATCTCAGAGTCTACTTATCAATAAACACACTCTCATTAAACTCATTCTTCACTGTTAAAGTCTCTGACATCAGTATCTTTATCTGCTGAGAAGTTAGTACTGTGATACTGTAGAGAAGTATGCTGCAGAAGAGTATAAAAGATGCTGAAAGTATTAACTTATTAACTTATAAAGTATCTCAGTTATCTGCTTTAACTGAAGTAAGATTCTCTTCAATCAGTAATTAATCTTCACAGTGCTTTCAGCAGTAGTGCTAACTGATCTCTTCTTAAGATCAGTCATTCTGAGGTGTTTTTTTATCTTGAAGACTCATGCTTTTATCTCTTTTTACAGATGAGTAAGAGAGACCTTCTCAGCCTTGATGAAATCTATCAATACTTAGAGCTCTGAGACTCTCACTCTGTACTGCTTGAGCATCTAGACTTCTTGTCAGAACTGACATGATATTTTTCTGTGAAGTAATACTTACAGAGAGATAGAAGTCATTGTTACAGATATAATGAAAATAATGAGAGTGAGAGAAGAAACAGATATATAAAATCCCCTTCTTCTTCAGCTGCTTAATACAGTATAGACAAGTAGTGATGCTAGCTAGAGATCACACTGAAGTCTTCTCACAGAGAGAAGATAAAGAAACTGTGAGATTCTGCAGACTCAACTCAGCAGTATTCTGAGCAGAACTTAGATATACTGTGAGAGAGAAACTATGAATTGAGCTTCTCAGAGTCACTGTCTTCAGAATCAAGCTCTTCTCAGGTTTCTCTCTGAATGATCACATGAGGTCATATGTCACTGTATTGACTGAGAGAGAGAGCGGTGTCACAACAGTAACAGAGAAGATGAGAGATGAACTGAATATGAACAAATCAATCAGTAGAAGAAATGACACCTCACTGCAAGACACAGCAACTATCACTGCAGCTGCAAAAGAAGCAGGAGAAGAAGAAGATGTGATAATGAAAGTAATGCTTCTGCAGCTCATTGACACTGCTGCCTTCAATCTGACTTTCTTAATAATCACAGAGACTGCTGCCACATCATGAAGACATTTACTCACTAGAAAATGTCAGAATAAGCTCTCTATTATTCTCTAAGAATAATACTCTCATACACTCACTGTTGCAATTGAGAGAGAGAGAAGAAAAATATTTCACAGAGAGAGAGATCTTTTTGAAAAATCCTGCTACTACTGTTAGCTTTGTTCCTAAAAACACACTACTTTTGCAGGGAATTTTATATATAGAACAGAATATATTGAGAGATCTGCAAGTCACTTATTAACTATGTTTTTCACATTTCAAATCAATATATAAGAAACTCACTTATCATGCATTTGAATTGAATGAAGATGAGAAAAGAAAGATCTACACAGTCAGTAGAAAAACTCATCTTTGTATTATACACAGCACATGTACTGATAATCAGTTGATAACTGTTGCTATACAACAAAGATAATTTCTAATCTGATAATCTTAAGAGTATAGAAACTATGTTCTTAAAGAGAAAAGCATTGTCATACTCTCAGCTGTGCTAAGACTCTGTTACAGTTTCACACAGCTCATCACTTTCATGTGAATAATTTCATTCTATCTGAACTGGTTTTCAACTACTCTATGATATTATTCAGATATATCATAGAAAGATCTGATTAATAAGTATAAGAATCTCACTTCTATATAAGATCAGCAGATTACTCTTTCTTGACAATGAGATGCTACTGAGGTATCACTTCAGCTATTCTTGCTTATGAAATAAGAGAAGAGTATTCACTCATTATCTATATAGAATAGCTAGATGCTGACTTCTTATCAAAGAAGTCAGTGATTCATTTTTCTTCTACTGAAATATATATAAGAGTTACTGCATGTCTCATACAATCTTCTTAGTATACTAAGTATTATATCTGTGATATTCTTGCAATAACTCTGTAGCCTACAAGCTCACTATTCAAGCAAGATAGTCAAGCTCACTTATACAGCTTCTTAAACAACTACCTCTATATAATGTCACTGACTAGCCACTGCTTCGGTTCTGCCACATTACATATATAAAAGATGTAAAATAAATCTGTGTAATAGTTAGAGAAGAATCTGTAAATTATAAAGAATTTTATAAAATAAGAAACTAAATAACAGACTCTTTTTTCTTTATAATAATAAGAGATTTTTCCTCACTGAGATTTTTTATAGATATAAAGAGTTTTTAGTGAGTATTACTACAGTACTGAGCTGATTCTATAAAGTTATTCAGTGAAAGACTTCACAGACAAAGTCTTAGAGAGAAAAAGATATGTAAGAAATCTCATTTCTTATAGATTCTTTATTTCTATTTTTATCTCTTATATAATTAATAAAGTTAGCAGTTCTTGACTATATATAACTATATAAACTGAAGTTTATAAATACTATTTATAACTTAGCTTGAATGCTATTATATATTTAATCTCTATATTTTATCTTTCTACTGTGAATACTTCTAGTAGTTAACAGTACATATCACATCAAGCTGTGAACACCTGAATAATCACCTGCGAGCACTTATTCTTACAATATTTAAGTAATTAACAATTGATTGAAAATCAATTAATAATCAATTTAGTGTAAATTATATAAATACTTACTTTATTATTAAATTCAAGAATAATTTCAGTATTAAATTGATTGTAGAATTGATGGTAAATAATTGAGTGGTTTCAAATTACAAGAAAAGATGTATTGAGCGAGGTCAGGTAGTGGCACAGGCCACATTTGCGAGGTCAGCTTACATAACGAGGTCAAGTGGCGCACTTAGCGAGGTCAAGTTTTCTGTATACACAGGTAGTGATAAAATGTCTGTCTCGATGGATGCCGCAGGAAGTCAGGCAGGCCCCTGGTAGACTAGGGCGAGGGTGACCTTAGCAAAATCTTGAATGACCATATGGATTTGCTAGTTGTATCGTTAGCGTCGACGCTGGAGGTTTTCAGGGGAAGTGCAAGAGGCCACCATCTCGAATCCGGCCATAGAAGGATAACCGAGATCCATCTAGAAAAATTAAATGGCCGTTTAGGTTCTCGACATAACGTTCCGGGAATTTCGAGCGGGTCCATGCATGGGGAAAGCCGGAATGATTGGCATGTTTAAACGGTGAACCAACTCTAATGTGTTGCGCTGTAACCACGCAACTCCCATGAGCTAGATAGTTATGTCTGACATGCTTATGTATGCAGGCCCTCCCAATTGCAAACCTGGAATTCTCATTGCGTCTACCCAGGTATTTATGTCTTCTTCTGGAAAAAGGAACTCAGCTTCTTCATCCCGGAGACATTCACCTTTTTCAGATCCCTCACCGCCCTCGACTCGCCCATCCTCTTCTTCTTTTCTTGCTCCTCCTTGCGCTTCTTCTCCGCCCTGATATCCACTTCCTCGTCATCCTCAGTCCCCCGTTTCCGAGAAAAATCACTCATTGAACGGGATGCTAGTGCTTTGGCGCGCAATTCTGCGACAAGCTTTAGGTGCTGGGTAAGGGGAGAAAAATCTTTGGGGCTCGTTTCGGGACTGCTGAGAAGGGTTTCAATTCGCGATGATAGGTGTTTGGGTAGATAGGAGGATTGTAGAAAGGATATTGATGTTCGGACGCGGAGTAAGTGATGAACGTCACAATTGGACGGAGAGTTGTCTATGGGTGGTGTGATTATAGTGTTTGGCGTCGAAACGACAGACGCAGCAAAAGAAGCCGACGACTGCGACTCGGGCTTATCTGGCGAATTCTCAACGGTATTATTCGTATCATCAGCCACGTCAGATGGATTTGATGACGTCGAAGTTGTTGGAAGATCATGCCTTTTCACGCTGAGAACTGGGAGTTCTAATGCCCTATGGATAAACCGTTCTTCCAGGCTCGGGGGAAGTCCACCTGCGGCCATCCTCTCAGCCTTGGAAATTAATTCCTTGAGTAATTTATCCTCATTGAGCCTGTACATTGTCTCTCCAGCCTCGACAGTGTCGCACACAGCTATCATTCTCGCTTCCACCCTTTCTCTGAACGTTGCGACTGAGAAGACGTGTTTCAGGGTTGCTGAGAGCGTATCTTGGGAATCGATCATATCATCAAGTGGCTGGAAGTGTTTCCGGGAAGCGGAATTACCACGAGCTGGCACTAATATGGGCAAGAGGAAAAACAGTATGTCCACAGGTGTTGCCACCAGCAATTGCGCCTCTTTAGCAATCGTCGCTTTAGCTAGTGCTTGGTTTTCAACTACTTGCTGAATGATCTCGTTTTTTTCTGCACTAACATCATCGGCCGCTATATCACTAGATGTATTTCGTGCATTAATTTCTTGTTTATCAGTTGCCGAACTTGTGGTGCATTTTGCCGTCGGTGTGAATAGAATGCTCCTTGGAACAGCAGACGAGGATATTGCGGTAAACTCGTACAGGCCCAGTTTGGGACAGAAATAATACCGACCAAGGGCGCCGCTTCGAGGGTTCTCCAGTAAAATGAACCGAGCATCGTCAGTCGCATTACATGGTAGAATGAGGGTTTTCGTAGGTTTTGAGGGTGCTGGAAGAGCGGGTTTGCATGTCTCCTGGTTGGTGCCAGAGCTTCCAGCGGGTTGTTGGGATCTTGTTCTCATTGTGACGGAATTAAGAGGATGGCATAATTAGTTTATAACTAGGCAATGAATATCATACCCGTTGGTAATATATGTCGTTTGTCTAAAGAAAAGAGCAATTGTTGTGTTGCTCAGCAGAACAAGTTTTGACGTGAGGTGGTCTGGTGGAGGAATCAACAAAGTTTCGAGATCGCGACTCACGCGTTGTCGTTAGACGCGAAAGTGACACGAAAAATTGGCTGTGAAACTGGACAACCTCGTGCGTTTCAAAAATATACAGCCCATCTCAGCTGGAACCAACGTGCATTGTTCAAGTTAACGGTTGCATCGTTAGAGCATATAAATATCAGAAATCAGCCAACTTATTTTACTTACAAATCCCTACCGAATATAAGCTTTATAGCACTTGGGGAGCAGTTGTCGCATCGCAATTGCGAGCAATGGGTCTTGCAACATAAAAATACGACAGTATTGCTAACTCCTAGGTTCCTATCGCCTGAGTGATTGGCAGCAGTAAGTTTTTCATTCTATCTGTTTTCCAACTCAGACAACTAATGACGAGCCTGAAAGTGGCGGATCTACGTTGGCCTCCCAGATCTCCCTACGAGGCGCTCATGAGCTCTCCCAATGGGCGCAAGAGATTCAAAGAGATGCAAGAACGTAGGCTAGCCGCCAGTGCCTTTACGAAGGGCTTCACCACGTCCCCATATGTACGAACGAAAGCTAGTCAGCTACTGGAGGACGGGGTCGAAAATGATCTAGAAGAAGGCGATGACGATGATGAAGACGAAGAAACGCTACAGTTGAAACTAGCGGCGATTGAGGCACGACTAAAACTTAAGAAGTTACAGCAGAGCAAATCCAAGTCGAAGCCCCCCAATTTCGACAAAGAGACAAACAGTGATGCACCTATTTATCCCTCCAGACCACCCAGCCGATTCCTTATGGAACGCAAGCGGAAGGCAGCAACCATGTCGCAGCCAGATAATATACAGGTGCCGGTGTCACCTTCGAAGAGATTGGTCGCTCCAGCGGATCCTATTTCTCCACGACGAATTGTGCTCGGCATTGACAAGGGTAGGAAGGGAAACGAGGTATCGCTAAGACGGCCTCCCAGTTCGAGTTCAACGGGGAGGCCCTCGAGCTCTATTGGAGGATACCGGGACGAGCTATTGCTGCGGCGGGCGCATAGCTCAACTACTCGGGGCGCACGCCTCACTGCTGACGAAGGGATACAAAGACCCAAAAGTTTCAGTGAGAGGGTTGCTGAGAGCAGATCAATGGATAAAAACAGAAGGCAGAAAACACAACTTCTACACCGTAAAAGGAATACCACTTTTGCAGTTGACAAAGACGAAATGGAGCGTTTTCATCTTGCTGCGAAGGAAGAATCGGGCAAAGCGTCAAGTTTCGATTCTCCATGGAAATCACAGTGCGTCGAGGAATTCAGCAGGGACGATGTCATCCAGTCTTACAATCTGTCGGGTTCTGGACTACGAAAAAGCAAAAGCATCTCGAGTATTCACGGCAAAGGGCCAGTTACCCAATGCACCCCAACAGAGGGTGGTACTCACCAATCTCTGGGGTTTCAGCGGCAACGAGAAGCGCGCCCTGCACCATACAGCACTGAGGGTGACTCACAAAATATCAAACCAACAAAAGAATCTGATCCGTCCAAATTTGAACCCTTCTCGGGGCTTCACCTCTCAAATCGAATCTTGCCTCACTCCTTCCTGACCCGAACCCTTGACGACAAGAGCCCTATGCGAATACCGGACTTGCTAAAAACCATTAAAGGACCTCAATTCGACCCACCAGATATAGATGGCGACTACGTCGTCTTTGGTATACTAGCATCTAAGTCAACTCCGAAAGAACACCAAGATCCGAAGAAAGGCGCCTCCAGTAGCAAAGATGCTGATGACGACGGATCAAACAATAGTTCTAAATACATGGTCCTTACCCTAACGGACCTAAAATGGTCTATCGACCTCTTTCTTTTCTCCACCGCGTTTCCCAGATATTACAAACTCATCCCAGGCACCGTCATCGCCATCCTAAATCCTTCAATAATGCCACCACCACCAAATAAACTCGATACTAACCGCTTTAGCCTTACGTTAAACTCATCAGACGACACAATTCTCGAAATAGGCAAAGCCCAAGACCTAGGTTTCTGTAAAGCAATCAGAAAAGACGGCAAAGTATGCGAAGCATGGGTCGATGGTCGAAAGACCGAATTCTGCGAATTCCATGTTGACCTGCAACTTCGCAAGACAACCGCGAAGCGGATGGAAGTGAATAGCGGTCCTGGTATCTTTGGGCCAGGAGGCCGGCCAGGCTCCCGGACCGGCATGTTTAACAGAAAGCGGGACAATAAGGATTTTAGGCTTAAGCCTGAAGGCGCACAGACAGACCGTTCTACTGGATCTACCTACTACGTTGCGCCTCCTGTCCCAGGTGGTCGTTCAGCAGCCAGTCTGATTGATGCAGACGACCCTTTTATCGCTGCTGCTCATGATTTCCAACGTGGTGGTAATGGCAAACTGGACCGTTTGCAGAAACGTCTCGCGGAGCAAGAGCGGGAGCGCAATATTGCCAAATTACTTGGGGAATCTAATTCTGTTGGGGCTCAGTACCTGCGTCATCGACGGGCGAATGACACTTCGGGGCGCGACGGTCCTGTTGTTGGTGTTCCCAGCAGTAGCAACGGCCTCACCTCCGACACTGGCAATAATAATGAGAAAGACGATGAATCTGCATCACAGTCGGCACGGATGACACTAGGGCTAAGTAGCAAAATGAAGAGTGCTAGCCATGTCAAGCTAGGTCCGATGAAGAAGGGTGCTGTTAATAAGAAGACCAGATTCGTCACAGCGAAGGGCATCAGAGATGCGGGGAGGGATAGTCTCGGTGGTCCTGGTGGAGGTACTGGTAATGAAAATAATGTGGATTATGATGATGACTTGGACATTGTGTAGAGCGTGCTTCGTTGCCGTAATTTTATGCTACGCAGAAAACGCTGACCTCTTTTGTTTACCCCCTTATTTCACCTTAGTTCTAACATTAATGCTGTTTCTGGTGTGTTAAGCATTTGTGAGTTAGAACATTTTTCTTCGGTTTGGATCGCGAGGGCTAAGCTTGGTGGAATTTCGCCTTGGACGCGAAAATGAACGCGATCATTGGTTTTTTGATGAATTATTAATGACTATATCGATTTTCGGTTTGATCAGGGATGCAGCATTGCGTATTTTCATCTGTATTGTACTACTAAACTCCATGTATTTTTTAATAACAAAGCCCATTAACTCAGAATCAAAGCAGGACAAGAATGAAATTGCGGGTTTTTCTCAATTCAATTTGCTACCGTTAGCTATGTGATGAGGGGAACTAAACAGGATCCCGATCCTTTCTAAACAATAACCACCTATGGACGGATGAGTGGAAGTGATGTACTGTAAGGTGAGGAAGAAACTGACACCAATCAAACAACGAGGAAGCAAAAAGGGACGAAGAAATATAGAAAAGGAAAAACAATACATGTTTCCCAACAAAAATAGCACACTTTCCCCTCCCTTGTCAAAAAGTACCAGAATCGAAAAGAACTCAAAAGGAGGAAACTAGCAAATGTGGAGGTTAGAGCCTAGAACAAAACAGAGGAAACACAAGGCCAAAACGTAACGGCCCGTACTTGTGTGGCCTAACTCGTGGCAGAGACGTGGGAAAGATGGGTAGGAGTCTCAAATAAAAAAAGTTGACAAAGTTCAAGAAAGTTTGAAAGAGGAAACGATTCGCCATTTTATAATAAAGGAAACATAGGATTGCCATGGTCATGATCTCGTCATAAAGTAAGATTAAAGGATAAGTAGGAGAGAAAGGAAAAGCAAATGTTGCGAAAACGACAGACGTCCGCGGAAGGAGGTAGAAGGAAATAAAGTGCAATAAAAAAAGTGTATAATGAATGAAGGTGGAACGATGCAAACTGATTAATGTCTGATGAGTTTCAAAAGGAGGAGCGAAGGACCAAGATAGGCACTGCTAATCAGCGATGGACCAAAAGAGCGCAGGTCTCTGTTTCACTTGCTGCGAGCTTTCTTCAAAACGGGCTCGACGCTGTCACTCGATGAAGTGCCGACTCTCTTTCTAATTGTTGTAGGTGATGCTTGGGATTTCGTCCGAGTCCATCTGTCGAAGGGGCTCATGCGAACAGCGGTCCTATTGGGAGGTTTGGAGGGACTTTCTAAGCCATCCTGCGCTTCCTTTTTGTGCGAACGGAGGGAGCGGCCACCAGTAAGAGGAGTCGTGGGGGTTGATATAGCCGATCTGGAGGGTGGTGTTGCAGGGATATCTTCGCATCTGGTGGAAGGAGGATCGGAATTTGATTCTCCTTGGTTGGGCTCATCTCCTTCACATGCTACTTCGGCATCTATAGTATTGTCGGTACCACTAAATCTCGAATCACGGGCTTTTCCTCGATGTGATGCATTAGGGAACAATAGACGTGGTTTGATGGAGGAGCGAGTCAGCGGTCGGACACGTGGGATGCTCGTCTCTTCTAGAGGATCAGCTTGAGAAGCCAACAGTCCCAGATCTGTCTCGTCATCTTCTTCTGTGTCGGAATTGAATTTTCGGAATATTTTCTTTCCGCGGCTGTAGATATTGTTAGCGTTACAATTGTGGAGGGCGGCATTTTGGAGCGAATACGTACAAAACATAGAGCATCCCGTCGTCTCTATGAAGGGCTTCTTGGACTTTCTCGTTACGCTGAATTTCATGGTTCCCATGTGAGCTATCATTAGACCGGCTAATGAAGGGGTTGTCCGACGTCTCGTGGACTTCAGGGATTCGATCCCTAGAGTCGGTAAAGATAGCGATTTCATCATTTCCTTCGTTTTCCAGCTCTGAGTTGAAGCTTTCTAGAGAAAATCCCTTGAACTTTCTGCCCTTTTGCCTTTTCGAAATTGGCATTTCAATGTCTTTAGATTGGCTATTTCCCTTGAATAGAGTACGTGCAACAGCACTGGGATCAGGGACAACATTCTTCCGTGGAGTTTTTGCAGGGGTTGGAAGCATGTTGGTAGTGAGGGTTGTATGTTCACTATCCATGTTTGACGAGACACCTAATGAGGAGTGAGAAGCAAGGTCATCTTGTCCTCTAGTGTTCTCAAAGAATGAATGAGTTTCTACAGGCGGCTGGCTGGTCTTGGTTTTTCTGTCACTTCTCCTTGTAGGAAAAGCTTGTGTGGATTGAGGCGGGGAAAATGAATCCTCCTCGCTGGCGCATCGTTTCGCGCCCATTAAAAGGTCGGTGTCATTGGGTGAGCGCGGAGAATTGGGTGTGGAGAGCCCTGGAGAACCTCTAGATGCCTTTCGATTTGCTAAACGAGCAGAATATCGGGTCGAGTACGGTTGATACGAGTCGAATCTCGCCCCATGGCGCGGAGCAGGTGGAGTCCTAATGGCACGGGGGGGCGGAGTTGTCGCCATTGTAGTTTTCTCCCCTCCTGCGTCTTCGCTTGACGATATTTGCGTTGAACAGCAAATGCTCCGGGTGGTCAATATTAGAATTGTTCAACGACCAGACTCGAAATTCAAGAACAAGATCAAAGTAATCGCAATTGTAAACGGTATCAGACGACCTTGAAAGCAGTAATGCGCGTCAGTTTTATGTGTTTGCTGGCAGGCAGTGGTAGGGTGGAGTGCAGGCTGCTAAATGCAAGTAATGAGGAGGTTGGTTTGTGTTGTCTGCGCTGGTTTCGGTAAACGCGAAATTGGGTGGCTGAACACTTAAAGTTAACTATTTAAGCGCGGTAGACGCGCGAACTCCGACGCAACACAAACGGTTTTACCAGCCATTCAGATAGCTGTCATTGAATTGCCAACTCCGCGAAGAACCGTTCGTTTAATTCACACTAAACCCTCCTTTTTACTCCTCTTGCTTCTATCGCTATGTCGATATCTAGTACTCGTGGGGAAATGGAGAGACTGCAGTTGTCCAACCGAGATACTGAGTCGCTGCTACAATCCCCTTCCGAAAATCCCGGTTTTCCATCTGCCCCTGAGACTTCCCGTACCACACCTGATGCAAACTATGGACGAAATAGCGAAACCCAATATGATCGTGAACAGGCACGGGAGGCGTCTCTACGGAGTGAATTGGAGAGTGTCCGGAGCATCAACAAGGCGGTGGAAGATATCATTGACAGTTTGAACCGTGCGAAGGGCAACATGGAGGTAAGAAATCAACCAATTGGTTCCGTATTATCCATTATTATTAAAATGTCTATTGATTTTGCTTTACAGAACGTTTCCCGCACCGTCACATCCGCATCTACACTTTTAAACACATGGACACGAATTTTAGCCCAGACAGAACAAAATCAACGACTCATCCTGAACCCTTCCTGGCAAGGTGCGTCACAAGATATCGCAGATATTGAAAACGAGTCGATTCTACGACAGCAGGAGGCGGAGAGAAGGGAGCTAGAACTCCAGCAGCGGAGAGAGGCGCTGGCCCAAAAAGCGGAGGAAGAGGAGCGGAAGAAGGCAGCAACAGCTGCTGCCAGGGGATCACGCGGGGCGACACGAGGGAGATCACGAATGATGGGTCGGACTCCTTCTACAGCGAGCTCATACAGCGGGACAAGAGGCACAACTACGACAAGGGCTACAACGACAACAAGGGGCACGACAACACGTGGAGCGACAAGCCTCCGAAGACCAGCAGCATCTATATCAGGCTCCAACGTTTCCAGAGCGAGGGGCAGGGTACGAGGACCATCGTAACAGAAAGTCTCACTTTTTTATCCTTCTTGTTTTCAATGAAATAGAATTTAATGATACCCCTAGAACACACCACATAGCCAAATGAGGGGCCTTTGGTTGTTTTGCATGTTTTATAACGTAGCTTCAATAGAGGCGCGCCAAGACGCTTGCCCCATAGAACCTTGTGCGGCGCGCATACCAATATTCGAACATACCAACACCAACGAAGTCACCTAAATATTTAACTCTTCTAGCTAGATTGCTTGAAACAAATCCACAAACGCAAAGCGACAGGAGACAGTATCCCAAACCCACCACATTTCTATAATAATAAAAATAATAAAAAAAGTCACATGGGTAGCTTCGCATATACCGCTTCACCATGAATTTCGCTCCCTACCAAGACGAGTCCCCGGAGATTGAGCGGGCTCTATCTCCTCCACTCCGTGATGCGACTCGGTCCAAATCCCCTCCTACCCAGAACCAGACCCAGAACCAGCGTACATCGCCCTCATTTCCCCCGGCAGGAGGACTCCCCTCACCGAGCTACTTTGCCAACCCCGAGGGAGTTGGAGGCGACACAGGTTTCGGACGAGACGTGGAAGGAGGGCGATTAAGCCTGGGTGCTTTCGAGACGAGTCTTCCCATTCGCATGGACTTCGAAGCTATGCTCGCATACCTCCTACTACCTCCTGCTGGGGGGGTGTTTTTGTTGTTGGTGGAACATAAGAGCGACTATGTGCGGTATGTTGTAGAGCATCGAGAGGCTAGCTTCAGAAAGGTTACCCTGATTGTATACATGGATGTTGACTCTGATCACTAACGGACGGATCTATTTCTTTGTTTAGATTTCACGCATGGCAGTCCAGCATGCTGTTCACTACGATATTTGTACGCATCCATGGATAATATATACCACGTTTACAGTTTTCTACAGGCCATGCCTAACCTTTCCCCTCTCGCAGATAATTCACATGATATTTGCCTGGTCAAGCGTCATTTCATGGCTCCTGTTCGTCTGCGATATTGCCTTAATCGGCTTCTTAAGCATGCGCGCCTATCGAGATGGTAAGAAGGAATGATGGGATTCCCACCCTAATTCCGTACTTTTGGTGATAATGTCGCTCATCATAACTTCGCCTTTTGCGATATGTTTAGTTGACTCCCTCGAGCACTTCGAAGTCCCCTTCTTCGGCCGCCTCGCGAATTCTTTTGTTGATGACGAATAAATACTATCAGTCAACGCCTCAATCAAGAAAATATAGAACATCCGACAACAATCCAAAAACCTATTCCATTCGGTCCATATACGTCAACACTAACCGCCGAAGTGCTTCGTCGCAATCCCTCAACCCGAACATCCTCCGTCCTACTTATGGAAATACCACTGTATAATTCGTAGATACCCAGCTAGCCAAGCACAGCTCTTTCGACCTGTATACCCGAGTATATATGTATATATTTGTTTGCACTAATTAGTACTTCCATTTCGCACGTCACATTGTGCACATCCCGTTCTATTTTCATCTTTATGTTCATTGTTGTCTATAATTATCTTTCGATCGTCCTTCTATTTGCGTTTCATATTCTCACTGTGTCTTGATTTTTGAAGAGTCATAAGTATCACTATTTCGCAAGTGCCTGTAGTTCACTCCTATTCCTTTTTTTCTTTCTTTTCTTTTCTTTTCTTTTTTTTTTTCTTTCTTTTTTTTCTTTTTCTTTTTCTTTTTTTTTTTTTTTTTTCTTTTTTTTCCTGCTCCTTTCATGCATATCTGGCTGGCTTCTTCATTTATATGCGCTCTATTTGTTAGATTCTCATTACTGCTTACCACTTCCGATGCAAGCCTCCTTGTCGATGGAGCAGCAGCAATCAACTTCATTTATTTGGTGAGAATCTACGTACGTGGATCATATATTATTCCCTAGCTTCACATTAACGGCTTGATAATTAAATGTCATAAGCTTCATTCGGATTTCAATTAAGCTACTCGTCCAAGATATATAAATAACGCTGAAGGGGAAAAAAGGGTGCATGGTCAGCAAGGGGAGTAACGGGAAACGAAGTCAGAGTCAAAAGCACATTGGCCTGCTTGAATCAAATATAATCAAAACAAAACATATCGAAATCGAAATAAAGGGTAAATAGAAGAAAAGCAACCAACAAGATCAAAGAGGCCATTCTGGAACACATTGCTAAAACAAAAGAAATGAGGGAGGTGTGCACAGTTTCAAGAGGAAAAAAAAAACGCAAATTGGATTTATAAATATCACTGGTTTATGAATTATCACAGGGATATTCTTTATGAATTGAAAAATGACGCTCTACAACAACCATCGCAGCCCAGATCTATCAAAGAAACCGGGCGTAAGCGTCTGCGCGGGCGTAGGTGTTTTGGGCTGGTAGATCGAATTAGCAAGAGGGCACCAAAATCAATCGGTGAGGGGTACGTCGTCGTTGACATTTAAATCGTGGTGAGCGGTTCGTTTTAAAAAATTATTAGTTATTTATTTATTTATTTTAGCAGTGCTGGAGATAATTGCTCGGGACTAGGCCAGGGTGGGTTCGCTGGGGCCCGGTTACTTCTGCTTCCCACCATCCATCGTCTTGGTGTCTGAGGACCGCGAGTATATCCCCCTTGGTGAAGCCGAGCTCCTCAGGGATAGCAGCGGTATAACTGTACATTGCACGCGCTGTTTGAATTAAGTCAGTGACGGCAAGGAATGAGGAAAAAGGATATCGAGGAGAAGTATTTATCGTACCATAATGTAACACCGGACGCACATCCACACTGAGCTGCTGATTACCATCTGTAGTTGCGACACTCCTGCTTCTGGCACGACTGCCTTGGCTAACGTCCGGTGCGGAGCCATAGTACATTGACATTGGCCGTGAGTTGCCCCGAGTAGCGTGGTTTCCATAATCATGGGTATGCCCGCCGCCATACGGGTCAACTTGACTATGTGACAGCTGAAGTTCCATTCCGCTCGCACTAGATGGCCGTTCCTGCCGTCTAAACTGTGGTTGAGGCGAAACGGCGCGTTGTACTTGAACGTCATTTGGGGACCCATGACGAGAGTACTGCTGCGGCGAATATGAATGACTAGCAATTACTTTTGTCGGGGTTACGGTTGGAGATTGGCGATATCTGCTGCCCATGCTGCCTGAGTGAGAGTGGTAAGAGGAAGGGCTAGGATTGTTTCGGCTGTCGTACTGCTGGCGCGGCTCCCCTCCACGGGACGGGGGAGGCTGGGGGCTTAGGCTTCTTCGTGGTGCAGGGGATATAGCTCGGGGAATTGCCTGATTGACTCTATTTTCAGCCTGGTTCGTCCGGGTAGAGTTGTTGTTGAACATCTCCTGCGTTTGTCCAACATATTTACGGGTAGTTTTCTGCATCTGGGCTGAGGTAAATGCTGGCTGGGGAGCACCAAGTCGCTTCACTGATTGATCATTGTATGCTGGAGGCGGAGTGCCACGCTGGGCAGCAGCGATATTCCCATCTACTATGCTGCTAGAGGCGACACTTGGAGGGACCGGTGTCGTAATTCCATGATACCGATCAGCTGAGACGCGAACTGATGACTGTTTCCCCACTCCTTTGAGATCGGCAAGGGCTTGGGCTATGGGGTCCAGGTCATCTCCGTCTTTAGTTGCATTTGTGGCCGCAGGAGGAGCGCCATCTGGCGAAGCAACGTCGAAAACATTATTGCCAATGTTTAGCTGGAAATTGGCTCTTGGGTCAACGGGTTCAGGGGTTCCTGAAGGGCGACCAACATCATATTTTGGCTTTTCATATTTTGGCCTAATCGGGCTTGTTTGTTTTTGCGGTGGTGCAGACCAAGTGCTACGGTTCGTAGGAGCCGTAACTTGACGCTCCTTATCATGCTTACTCTTTCTCCGGAAAGGACTGTTGCTGAAAAATCCACTCCTCTTTTTCTGGACTTGTTTACTAGCAACCATCCCGGGAAGAGCAGTGCCGTTAACTGGTTTCTTAGGGGATTGTTTGGCACTGGGTGGCTCCATACTGGAGAACGAAGTTGGGTTGGAGATGTCACTATGAGAGTCTCTGCTAGATGGCCGATTGGCACTGGTTCCACTGCTTCTTTCAGAAGGTGGCCCGGTTCTGCAGAACATTGTCATTCCGTCGGTAGGATACTCATTGTGAGGCACGTTTGGGATATCACCATGGTGGTTGGGCTGATAATTAGGTGGAACTTGTCCTCCACGTCGGAGATCAAGAGGAGGAGGCGGCTGCTGTTGTTGTAATTGTTGTTGTTGTTGTTGTTGTTGTTGTTGTTGTTGTTGTTGTTGTTGTTGTTGTTGTTGTTGTTGTTGTTGTTGTTGTTGTTGTTGTTGTTGTTGTTGTTGTTGTTGTTGTTGCTGCTGCTGCTGCTGTGAGCTCTGTAGCTTCTGTGTTCGCTGTGGGGTCACAGTAGATTCTCTGCTTGCCGGTGTGGACGGATCAGGATGTGCCACTTGCCTTGTCACGAGGTTTGCCTGGGGTTCATGATGAGATTCATGACTAGAAGGTGCGGGTGAAGAGCTTCTGTATGCTGGATTAATGGTTCGCTGGAACTGTGCAACCGAATAGCTCTCTTCTTCGGATGTTTCTGAGGAGGTATCGTTAAGGTCTCCGCGGCAAAAATTAATATACTTGGGCGGATCAGGGATTTCCTGTCCTGTCCCCCTCTCCATTATGAATGTGCTGATATCCTTTTCTACCTCACAACTCTCAAGAGATACCCGGATTCTTTCACAGGACTGCATTCATTAGAAACTGAAATGTCAAATTCTAGATAGTTATTGAAACTTACAGCATCGTCGCTAACGCACGCAGTCGAAGCAATATTTGCATAATTCCATAGACTACTCTTAGTAAAATCTAGCCTTTCTTCTTCCAAATCTTGAAATTTCTATAATAGACGTTAGCGCAAAGTTGGCTCTTTATTTATCAAATGTGTCACTTACATCGCAAGCAGCCTTCCACTCTTTATTCCAGCGGCCGGTTGTTTCCTCGAGTACTTTTATAGCAGCTTCGTACTCGCTGCTATTGGAAGCTAGTTGTATCTGCGTCTTCTCCAGTTTTGCCTTGTTCTTGCGTTCTTCCTGTCCCATGACCATGTGTCCTTGGGCCAAGTAACCTTTGATCCGGAGACAGTCTTGTTCATAGCGGTCTCGTGACTAGATAGTGAATTCCTATTAATGACTATTGATAATAAAGCCGAAATGAGATAAAATACCTTGTTGACAGCATGCATTTGCTGTATTTTGGTTTTGAGAAGCTTTTCAATGCCATTCTGTACAATCTTACGGCGTTCTTTCATACCACCAGCAAAAGCAGCTAATGGTTCTTCTAACTCACTTTTCATCTGAGAAGCAATAGCTGCATGTGTCTTGCCAATCGCTTCTGTCTCTGCGCGAACGGTATCAAGTGAGGCGCGCAACGTCCCGGACTCACTAGAACCGAGAGCTTTTCTGCATAATATCAGGAGCTTTCTTGCGTATTCATCCTCTATGGCAGCGCGGGCTGTATGAAATGGAGGTCATTAAAGGGCCGATTCCCGTGGAGCAATTCAGATAGCATTTGTATTATCTATCACTCACTGCTGTAGAAGGCTTTCAGTTCATCGCACGTAGTTTTGGCATTGTGAACGCGCTCTAGCATTGGGGAAACGCCTGCGTCATCTTTACCCCAAAAATTATTCGCAACTAGAAAACACCATATCAGCTTCATTCGACGACAACTTTTGGGGAGTAGTTTGGCTGTAACCGCACAGGACAAAGACACGCTCGGGGCTTCTGAGACAGGTCCAGGCATTGTGAGCAGTTCTGGACAAAGCCGCCAAATACCAGCAGGCTTTGTTTGGAATAGAAGATGGGCCTGATCCGCCCAGCATGGACCAGCGGCAGCACAAAAAGAGTTATTCCTGCAGAAGCCAAAGAAATGAGAGAGACTACCGCTCCTTAAAAACAAAAAGATGACATCTTGGAAAAAGGTGCAGTTGGAGAGGAGAAGAAGGTGATCGACCCTGGCTGTTGCTGCCGTCGCAATGACAAGAGTTGTTTACATCCCATCCATCCCTGGATGCGGTGGTTTCTCGGGGCAACGCTGCCAAGCATCATCAACTCAACGCCAACTCCATGTTGACAGGGTGTGCTCATTATTCAAACTTACACAGATCCCAGGTTTTTCTTCTCCCGCAACGAAGCTTATAAAGTCCGGTTTGATCGAGAAAGGCATTGATTGAATATTTACGCCAAGCCTCATCTCCCAACAGCCAAACTCAATAGATTAAAATCCATAAATCCAATCACGTGATTGATTGAAATGTCTCTGAGCTACTTCGACCCCATAACTCAGACTGACAATACCGAGAAGCTGGGATAAGTGTTAAGATGGATATTCTTTAATGTACTCTAGAAGCTGTAGATGGAGATTCCATGTAATCAAGTTATCGTGGCTCACCGTAGATGTTTTTTTTGTATGCGGAGTTTGCCCAGCCAAAGTGATAAAGTGATGTTTGTGGAGCTAAACCACGAAGAGAATGCCAAGCCCTAGAGCCTCTCTCGTGCTGGTTCGGCTTCACCTGACAACCTCACCTCCTCGCTCCCTCTCTTGCTCAACCTCCACCTTTCTATCTCATCCTCTCTTCAATACATCCATTCCCTTCTTCTAATTCATATTTATGTCCCTGTAGGGAAGCCTCCATTTGGGCGCTGTTACTCGTATATCTTTTCTCCCGTTCGTCTGCTCCTCGACGAGCCTTGCACACGTTCCCACAATTTTCGCAGCCACACATCCAAATGACCGCATTCCCAACTTCATGAGTTTCCCTTCCCCCGCTCAATCTTTGATTGCTTCTGGCACCGACAAGCCATCAGCTTCCAGGACGGCGAGATCCCAGCAATCTGTCTGGGGTTCCAGTGCGTCCCAATCTAGCATCCGCCGTGGCCTCGCGCCGCTATCCACCAATCTCTCCAACTCAAACTCCAGCGTATCACCTCCCCGACGTTCTGTCCAACAGCATAGTCCCGCTCCTGGCGCTTCTGCAACATCTCCCCTTACGTCCACCTTTTCCGCCGTCCTGACATCCTCTAATCGCCTTTCGATCAACCGCAACACGTCTTCCCCGGCACCTTCTCACACCTCCTTCTCTTCTCTCCAACAAGCTGGCTCGCACCAACAGCAGCAGCATCAAAGTCAGACAATTTCATCACCGAAAATCAGATCTCTTACCCCTTCTTCAGTCTCGCATCTGGCTACCTCGACGTCTTCAGGAGGAGGTAGCGGGGGCGGTGGAGGTGGTGGTGGAGGAGGTGGTGTGGGCGCGGGAATATCCAGGAGTGCTGCGTTCTCTCCGCTGTTGACGGGGACTACAATCAACTCGCCAACAGGTTTCCCTTCTGATAAGCCCGGAGCTGCCGTTAATTCAACTGCAAACGCTGGCCAGTCGTCCCTGTCGAAAATCTCTGTAGCTCAAGTGTTCCTCCTATTGGACTCCATCAACGAGAAGGAAGGGAAAGAAAAGTGGGAAACTAAAGCTGCACAGATCCACAAGGTATGCATTTTGCCAGATCATGAGCTGTTATCAACCCGCATAACATGGCTAACAATTCGATTCAAGCTCGTTAATTCAAACGGCATGGAAGTTTTTGCAAAGTATTTTCGTCGCCTGCTCTCTGGCAACGCCCCTCAGATCTTTCCGGGGATCAACAAGGTGGTGGAAAATGCCGGGAACTATCCTTTGCTAGTGCAGGAGGTTCAGAAGGTGTCACAGGATCCAGATCAAGGCCAGAAAATTGCTGAGACTATTGATGCCTCTGATGGTGATATCTTTCGTGACTTTGACCTTTCAACATTCCTCGAGCACTTTAAATTAGACCCTATTGTCAAAGTCGCGTTGACACTCGCCTTCAAGAATGTCAGCAAGGCAGATTTACGCACAAAAGGTTAGTTGAAGCTACCCTACTCTTTCAACGAGCTATTCACTGAGTAAAACTGACCATTATAACCCCGCTAGCCGATGCAATTCTTACCAATTCAACCACCCAGTTCCTGCATAGCGTCTCTACCATATCTGACACGAACAAAGATTTTACCACATCTTTTATCAGCCTTACCCTTGAGCGCTTCATCCTCCAACCACCCCGTAATTTCGACGACGACATTAAACAAAGGCTTGTTTACGCGTGCCGAGCGCGATACCAATCCGCAGATATGGACATGCCTCCAGAAATCGAATCAGCTTTGCAAATGTTTGGGTTGTCTGATCCGCAATTGACTCTTGTTCGCCAGATACAAACGCGAGGGCCAAAATCAATGAGCAGTCTGGATAACATCGTTGAAACCATAAATTCAGCTGGTCCCAGTGGCTGGAGCGAAGAGCAGATTGCTTCTGCTCTTTTGTATGTTATAATTTCCCCTAATTGGCGTCACTTCTCTCCCGAATTGATTCTCACTGCGGCCAAAAACCACCGAGGTGAAGCCTTTAACTGGTCAGCCTTCATGCACGGCTTCGATCGGGTTGGTGTGGTCATCGATCCGAATCAGTTTGGTCGACTATTTAATGTCCTTGTTGCTGCTTCCCACGATAACCCAAGCCTTGATGTTCAACTGCTTTGGAGTGGAGAATGGGAAAATCGAGACACGCAACTATCATTCTTAACCGCTGCGCTCTCCTCCAACATCGACATTTCCCGCATCCCCAAGTTCCGCTCGACATACCCCTCCGACATTTTTAGGGACGCTTCCGAAACTGTTCGTCAGCAAGCTGAGCAGGCGCAACATAGCCTGCTTCGCTCCCGCGATGCGGTGAAAGCCATCTTTGATCTTATTCTCGAGACACCAGGGACGTGGAGCCTTCCAGACAGTCAACGATTCGTTAAAACAGTTCTTCAACACGATCTACCCATATTCCTTTGCTCTGCATTCGCCATTCCTCAACCGTGGAGCACTGTTCAGGTCAACTTCGTTGTGCGTTCTTTCTCTATTTTCGTTTCCAAGCGCCAGGATGGCTATCAATTTGCCCTTCATGGCGTCTGGAAACTTAATCGAGAGTGGGTTGTGGAACAGCTCTTTCACGCATTTACTCAAGATCCTTCGTGCACTGAACTTATATACGAGCATGCCGTGGAGCATGGTTGGTTAGACTGCATTTTGGAATTTACCAACGGCCTAGCTATGGACCTTGCATCTTTGGCGCACAGAAAGGACGACTATGATCTCGAACAGTGGGTTAAAAAGGCGGCTCAGAAAGCTCCCATCGACATGGGAAATTTGTTATCGAAATTCCTGAGAATAAAAGCTGAGGACGAACTACGCGTCCAACGGAAAGAGCAACCAACACCGCAGATGGTCAGCCTGTCGGTTAAAACTGTCTTTGCCCTCCTCCAAATTCTTGAAGATTACATTGTCGATCATGAAACCTTGACCCCCATCCAACGAATCTGCCTTCAAGCTTACCCACGACTGATAAACTACGGCGAAGGATTTGACGATATTATCGAGGTCAACGGTGCTCATGGAAATGCTATTCCAGTCGAAATTGATAAGCAGATGCAAGATTTATTCGGCAAAATGTATCACGAAGAACTTTCCCTGCGTGAAATCCTCGAGCTGATGCGACGGTACAAAACGTCACGCGATCCTGCTGAGCAAGATTTATTTACTTGTATGGTCCATGGCCTTGTGGATGAATATAACTGCTACCATACATATCCACTAGAAGCATTAACAAAAACAGCTGTCATGTTCGGGGGCATTATAAATTTCAAGCTAATATCTGGTATCCCGCTCAAAGTTGGCCTCGGAATGATACTAGATGCGGTGCGGGAGCACGAGCCCCATCAGTCGATGTACAAATTTGGCGTTGAAGCTATCGAGCAATTAATGGGCCGTCTCCCAGAATGGGCTGGATTTTGCAACCTGCTTCTACAAATCCCCACACTTCAAGGAACGCCGATTTACCGCAAAGCCGAGGAAGTGCTTCGAGATCAAGGCCACCACCCAATTAACGAAGCTGATGGAACTGAATTAAATGGACTGTCCGATGGGATGGCTATGACTAATGGCAATATTGATGAGCTCCTGGCTACAGATACTACTCATCGCAAATTTTCTTCCCTCCACGTGGATCCACCGCTTCGCCCTGAGATATACCGCGACCCGGACGAAGAAGCTCATGACAAAATTCTCTTCATTCTAAATAATGTTTCAGAACAAAATATCCAGGGGAAGCTTAGAGATCTAAGAGATGTTCTACAAGAGGAACATCATCAGTGGTTCGCCTCGTACCTTGTTGAAGAACGAGCGAAATTGCAGCCGAATTTTCAGCAACTTTACCTCGACCTGTTAGAGCTTATTGGCGACAAAACTCTCTGGATGGAAGTTCTTAGAGAGACATATGTTAGCGCAATACGATTACTGAACGCAGAATCTACCATGAACTCGGCAACCGAACGCACATACTTGAAAAATTTGGGCGGATGGCTAGGCTCTTTGACCATTGCCAAGGATAAACCAATAAAACATAGAAATATATATTTCAAGGACCTCCTTATCGAAGCATTCGATAGCCAACGCCTCATGGTTGTCATACCTTTCACCTGCAAGGTGTTGGTTCAAGCTATGAAATCCACGATTTTCAAGCCACCAAACCCATGGTTAATGGATATCCTTGCCCTGTTGATGGAGATATACCATTTTGCGGAACTGAAAATGATTCTGAAATTTGAAATAGAGGTTCTCTGTGGAGACTTAGATCTTAATTACAAGACAATTGAGCCGTCGACATGTATTAGGGAACGTCCAGCACAACTAGAAGATGGCATTTCGTCGGCCAACCTTCCTGAAGGCCTGGAGGCCTTCGAAGATATGTCACTGAGTAACATAAACCGTGCTATCCGCAACGAGAGAATACCCCAGACATCCATGATGCCTAGTCTCCCAAACCTGGATCAAATCTTGGTGTTCCCTCCTTCTGCGAGTACAATGGCAGATCCTAGCGTCCTTAGGCAAATTGTCCACAGCGCTGTAGAGCGGGCAATTGCTGAAATCATCACCCCAGTCGTCGAACGTTCCATCACGATTGCGTCCATATCAACGGCGCAGCTTATACTAAAGGATTTTGCAATGGAGCCTGATGAGGAGAAAGTTCGCCAGGCTGCAGGAACAATGGTTCGGGCACTTGCAGGCAGTTTGGCTCTGGTGACATGCAAGGAGCCCTTAAAAATGAGCATGACCAATTATATTAGAGTAATTCAACAAGAATTCTCGGACCAGCCAATGCCTGAAGGGCTTATCCTTATGTGTGTTAATGATAACCTAGACGCCGCGTGTGGTATCGTTGAAAAGGCAGCGGAAGAAAAATCTATCTCTGAGATCGAAAAGGTCATTGAATCTCAACTAGAAGCTCGCCGCCGCCACCGCGCAGCACGCCCTAACGAACCCTTCATCGATCCTTCCATCAGCCGTTGGGGATTCTTCATTCCAGAGCCGTTTAAACAAGTCCCAGGTGGCCTCAACAAAGAACAGCTGGCTATATATGAGAATTTTGCGCGGCAATCACGAGGGACTGGACAGAACCACATCCAGAATGCATCAACTGATTCCGGGAAACAAATTCCAGACGTTCTTCAAGAGTCTTTCCCTGCAATTCCTAACCTGTCTACGCCAGCCGAACAACCTGCTCTCCCTCACCATATAACGCAGACGCAGCAGGAATCCAGCCTGCAACAACCTGCCATTACAGTCCCTCAAGGCCAAATAAATGGTTTCCTTGAATCAGCTGACCCGCGCGAGAAAGTAGAAACACTCGTTTCTCAGCTACAATTGGCGGCTCGGAATGCTTCAGAGGAACACCTCAAAGATCTTGGGCGTGATAGCAGCATCCTTCAGGACTATAACCAGCTCTTCCGGACGATTCTTAGCGCTCCCAACGGTGAAGATTTAGCCCAAAGGGTGGCCTCAAAAATATGCACCACGTTGTATGCGCGGACCGAAAGTCGTTTGGAGATTGAGCTGCTAGTTCACATCCTGGCCAAGATCTGCGAGTTGTCGTCGCCTATTGCCAGGTTCACCTGGACAGTACTTGCCAATGTGGGCGATGAGCAAATGTTCAACGTACCTGTCACCGTTGCCCTCATTGATGCAGGGTTGTTGGATCTTCAACGAGTCGATATGATACTCACGAAACTCATCCAAGATAAGAACATGGCTGCCCTAGAATTACTATCTAACCTTATTGACCGAGTTCTTTTGAACGACGAACCTTCCGCTTTACGATCGGACTTCTCAGGAAGTTTGGATGCGATGAATAAGTGGGTTGTCGATAACCCAGATCTCACTGTTGCCAAAGATATTATCCGGAAGCTCCGCGAATCCGGCATCCCAGAAACTGTCAATGCGCTCCTTACGGATCAAGCTCGTTCAAAACGCGATCAAATGGAATACATTTTTAGTGAATGGATTGGCGTGTATAAGTTTGCCGGCTCCAATGACAGGACATACAGCACCTTCCTCAAGGATATGCACCAGAGACAAGTCATGAACAACCAAGAAGATTCAGCCTTGTTCTTCCGGCTCAGCATCGATATTTCGGTCGCCATGTTCGAGCATGAATGCCAAAATCCAACTGGGAACATCGATGAGGCGTTCTTGTACATTGATGCTCTCGCAAAGCTAGTAATCTTGCTTGTGAAATTCCAGGGCGAGAGCAATGGAGCTGTCAAAGCCAGCAAACCTGTATATCTGAATTCTATTCTGTCACTTCTAGTGCTTGTCTTGAACCACCACCAAGTGATGCGGGGAGAGAATTTTAACCAGCGGGTATTTTTCAGGCTTTTCTCCAGCATTCTTTGCGAATATTCTATGTGTGGCCTGCAAAATACGGATCAACATAAAGAAATGATGTCCGTCTTTGCGGACAAGTTCTTGTCGCTGCAGCCTAAACATGCACCTGGGTTTGTCTACGGATGGCTTGCACTCATTTCGCATCGACTTTTCATGTCCGGAATGCTTAATATGCCGGATCAGTCGGTAAGTTTTTGAAATTATCTAGACCTTCTATGTCGTCACTAACAGAAGAAAATCCAGGGGTGGGAATCATATTGCGAAATAATCCAAGTTTTACTCCCGTATGTTGGCGAACAATTGAAGCCAGCCAATGTTTCATTCGTCTCCAAGGACATATACAAAGGGGTTCTTCGCATTTTGCTTATTCTCCATCATGATTTCCCCGAGTTTGTGGCTGAGAATCACTACCGATTCTGTAATGTTATCCCGTCTCACTGCGCGCAACTGCGAAATCTTGTTTTGAGCGCCTACCCATCGTCGTTTCAGAAGCTCCCCGATCCGTTCAGAGAAGGATTGAAGGTTGATAGGTTAGACGAAATCCGGAAAGCGCCGAAGGTCGCTGGCGATGTGTCCGCTCCTCTTCAACGTGCAAATCTGGTCGGTATTGTCGACAACGCCTTCCGTACTGTCGCTCCTGACAATGCGGTCCAACAAATCTGTGATGCGTTATCAAACCCGGTTGTCAAAGAAACTGGACAGTTCTTCACTCCTATCAATGTGGACGTTGTTCTGATGAATTCGCTCATCCTTTTCATTGGGCAAAATGCCGTTGCGTCGATTGGTCAGAAAAGCAACACACCCGCGGTATTCAGCAATTCTCCCCATACGGTTCTGCTGGAAAAGCTTTCAAAGGCTCTACAGCCGGAAGCTCGGTACTACTTCCTCAGCGCCATCGCCAACCAACTGAGATATCCCAGCAGCCATACGCATTACTTCAGCTACGTCATCCTTCACCTTTTCGGATCTGAGCAACCCGAACAACAAGGATCGGATATTCGTGAACACATTATTCGTGTCCTCCTTGAGCGACTGATTGTCCATCGACCCCATCCATGGGGCTTAATCATCACTCTCCAGGAACTGCTACAAAACCGCAGCTATACCTTCTTCCGCTTGCCATTTATTCAGGCGGTACCTGAGGTAAGAATCCGCAATCTTTCGTCATACAATGCTGAATATCCTTTCACTAATTACAACCGTTGTCATAGATCAATAATCTCTTCGACGCGCTACTTCAGCACATCCAGCAGCAAAGCCCCAGGGCCCTAACTTAGGGGGTAACACTAATGTACTCTACCTAATCCGAACACACCACAAAAATTACTCCGTGAACCAGCTTACGACACCCTCGTTGTGGGGATGGATTTGACTTTGGGGGTATATGCCATGACTATAATATCACTTTTTTTTCTAAGGCTCTAGGTAGTTCAAAAGCTGCTATTTTCTTCATTCTTTATGTTGTGCGTGCCGATTGCAGGGTTTCTGGGTCTATTTTACTTCTTTCATTGTTTTTCTGCGAGGTTTGCCTTTTTCTCCTTATCTACACTTTGCTCTGGGTTGTTTTGGGGGGGATGCATTTTCCTAAGTGTGCTCACCATTAGTGAACCGAGATGGTTGCAGAAACATTTTATCTTATTGATTTCTTCCCTTCTATTCATATATAATGTTTCACCCTATATTTGACTCGCCATTATTTAAATTCGCTTTGGCGTCGGGGAAAACATGGAGGATCTGGAAAATCATGAAGGACATTGGACGGCATTGACGCCACGAGATATGAAATTAGTAGGGATGAGTAGAAAGAAGCGTTTCTCTAGCCAACGAAGTTGTATTATAAAATTTCGTCAATGTAATGGGAATATCTAACATCATGTACAGATTACTACTCAGTACGCCATTTGTAATTGAAGATTAAGTAAATTGAAAATAGCTGTGAAGAAGTTGCGGTAACTACGTAGTCTGCCGAGCGCCCTCCACGTGTAGTAAGTAATGTGGCGCTTGGCACGGCTACTGTCTTTTCTTCTCTTCGGTCTCAAGCGCCCGCAGTTGCAGCGCGATTGTCACCTGCGAAACTCAAATATGACGGCACCAACAGCTAACATAAACAACATGCGAACTCGATACCTCTAACAACCGTCAATTGTGCCAGGATGGAGGGCGTCACAGGACTAAGCCAGCCATTATACTCTAGGGCGTTGGTATGTATGAATGCTACCAAATTCCATTTCCTTTCCTATGATTTCTCATCGTTTAAGACATAGTTAGCTTACGACTCCAGGCCCCGTTTAGAGAAGCTAGCCATACCATAATCTCTAAACCTGCACGGCGAGCCTATATCAACACCGTCCTCTTTGCTCTCACGTCTTTGGTTCTTTTCTGCATTTCCGTCGTCGCATATTGGATATTCTACTATAACTATGTGCCGCAGATCGGGATGGAGCGGCAAGTTCACCTACAATTCGGGTATGCCCATGGTTCCCAATCAAGTAAATGATATGAACACTGGAACTGTTTATGTAACTGGGGTATAATAATAAAAAAAAATAAAAAAAAAAAATAGTGACGGGCACCCGTATGGCACTGCGACGTTGGGCACAGAATTGATCCCTGCGCAGCAATATGATATCAGCGTCGCTCTGTATCTTCCGCGCACCCCTTCCAACCTCGATGCCGGCAATTTTATGCTTGATCTTGCACTAGTCTCTACTGTAGACACAAATATCAATACAAATGCAGAAGCGTCAGCGGAAGAAAATATAATTGCCCGGTCGCGGAGGCCTGCTATTTTGACATATGCGTCCCCCATGGTGGATACGGCCAGGAGGGTGTCGAAAATGCCGCTCTACGTGCTTGGGTGGCAGAGGGAGGCCGAGAAGTTGAAGGTTAATATGATGGGGCGGGTGGAGTTTGCGAGGAAGAAAGGGGCTATGCCGAAGATGCTGAGGTTGGAGATTCAAAGTGATGAAAGGATGCAGGTTTATAATGCTGTTGTCAGGTTTGACGCGAAGTTTAGCGGGCTACGGTATGTACCCGTCTTTTATCTTGACTCTCATTCTTGATGTTTGGAAAGAGACTGTGTGGCTTGCTTTGCGTTTGTGGCCTCAACTCCTACGAAGGGTATGCGGGAGAATGTCATGGGCTAATGATTATTCGATGATAGATGGATTATGTATAATTGGAAAATCCTCTCCTTCCTAACATTCAGTTCGACCTTCTGGATCGTTTCAATGTTATTTACATCCTCGGTATGGATAGCTCTGGCGGGCCAGGCTGAACCAACATTTAAAAAGAGGCCAAAATTGGAAGATGAAGCTGAAGAAGAAAACAGCAGTGATGTCTCTGTGAAGGAGGAGGAAGGAAGCGATGATGAAGATAGTTCTTCAAAGCTTATTAAACAACGCAAAAGGCGGATGAGAAATGAACCGGGGCAGATTAAAAAGGAAGAAGATACTGAAGAGTCTACGGTCCTCCAGACTTTGGCTAGAGAAGGCCATCCCGACGTTGAACCAGACACCCATCCGGCTAGCACCAGCACTTCATCGCAGACAGCTACAAGGGATAACTCGGATCCAGCCGTCCAGAGGCGCAGAGCCCACGTGCGCTTTGAATATGGCGAAGGCGAGGACTAACTAACTCCCTCTGCCATTTAATCGTGTGCTTGTGGGAGCCATGCTTAATTTACTTTTGGCTTGCAATGATACCCCTAGACTTTTTCGCGGCAACAATAGTAAAATAGTATATAATACAAGTTCCATAAAATGTTAAACTAATCTGAGCACTGCATAAATCCATAATTTTGCGCTCGGGGGCAGTCAACCGCGGAAGTGGGGTACCGTCCGTCACCATAATGTTTGCCCCACCAAACATGTCCCTTTTCCTGTTCCGCAGCAGCAAGGAATAATGTAGAACATCAACACCACAGCAATCCGACGCCAGTTACATTCAGCTTGGTGAGAGGATCTACGAAATCCGACCACAGATCGGGCAGGCCTAACCAAGTTAGCCATACGCAGTTTAGGTATTTTGACGATAGAGCAGCTCGCACCGGAACCTTAACTGCTTCAATTCAAACCCATTGTGCATCTGACAATGCATATACTCGTAAGTCGATTGAAACTGCTACGTTAGGCATTCCCACATTCCTAAATACATCCAAATTGAAAGCACCCCTTGTCTCGCCAAAACCTATGTCTGGCCTCTCATTTACTCACACTTCCTTTAGGTTGTCAACGACGACGGGCCTCCCTCAAACCAGTCTTCGCCCTATGTCCATTCACTAGTTCACACTCTCGAGTCTGCCGGTCACGTTGTCTCCGTCGTCCTCCCACACCGGCAACGGTCATGGATCGGTAAAGCTCACTTGGTCGGAGCTACCGTGAAGCCTACCTACTTCCGCCCTGGCACCCTCTACAAAGACGACGGGACAATTCACCACCTTCCTTGGGGAGCCGATGGAGATTACGACAGCAAGCCGCCAGAGAACGAGTGGATCCTCATTGATTCAACGCCCGCCAGTTGCGTCCAAATCGGACTATTCCACTACTTCAAGGACCGCGGCCCCATTGACCTTGTTATCTCCGGGCCCAACTACGGCAGAAACTCAACCGCCGTCTTCGCACTATCGAGCGGTACAATCGGTGGGGCATTGGAGGCTGCTGTATGCGGGTACAAGGCCATTGCGCTCTCGTACGCCTTCAGCTCCCGGGACCATGATCCCATCGTCATTGCGGAAGCGTCGCGGCATTCCGTCCGCCTAATCGAACATCTGTACAAGAACTGGGAGGAGGATGTTGATCTTTATAGCATAAATGTCCCCCTCGAAGCCGGGGTTAGTGAAGCCAAAATCCTTTACACGAATGTGTTGGATAATCGTTGGACATCCGGGAGCTGTTTTGAGGCCATAGATGCTGCGGAGAGCGGGGAGGGCCCGGATTTGCAGGAACAGAAGTTGCGGCAGGCTGGGGAAGGAGACACCAGGCTGGGGAAATTGAAGGGGAAAGGAGCGAGAACAAGCACGACCACGCCGGGGCATCGGCATATGCATTTCAAGTGGGCGCCAAAATTTTCGGATGTCTACAAGAGCGTAGATCTTAGTCCTCCAGGTAATGATGGATGGGTAGTTAAGGAGGGGATGACTAGGTAAGCTTACTTCCCACAGTCCATACGGGGCCTGTTTTATCTCACTATTTTTGTCGAGAGTATCCCGTCTACTATTATTCTAACTATGTGCTCTTTTGTCATTACAGTGTTACCCGGTTGAAAGCGAATTTTTTTCACTCATCAGGTCCTTCAGGAGAAATTCACTTGTGAGTGTTTAACTAGCTCCAATGCGATGGCGTTTTGTGGGCTTATGCGAGACGATTATTTATAAAATATCCACCCACACACACACACACACAGAGAGAGAGAGAGAGAGAGACGGCGTATAGTTATATGTTACTGGTTCTTTTGTCGCTTTGATTTTCTCTTCTTTCGTTGTCATAAACTATTCCCATCATCACCTTGCCTTTTCCCGTAGAGGTGCATTCTAACTATAGGGACCCTACCTTTCGATCTCCGGACAGGCCTTTCAAGATACCAAAATTCTACGCTCTAGTGGAATGCCAGGACCCATATGTGCAGCCCCTTGTAATCCAAGCCCTACGGGCCCGGTTGCACGATATCCCTTACGAATTGATATTTTCCCTTTGCGAACTTCCCGACACCTCATCCCCGTTATTACAATACCGAGTGTACGAGCAATGCGACTTTGAGCACGTATTATCCCATCCTACAACGTCATTGGTGAATACCTATGTCATCCGCAAAGCGCTTATTCGCAAACACTTCTTATCAAACACGGTATCGAACTGGGTGGTAAAACATCCCAACAGCGTTCTAAAAACGCACTACAAACCAGCCGTTGATTTTGAGCTAGATTACGCGGAGTTTCTTGATGAGGCGTTGGTCGAGGCCTATGAGTTACGAGAGAGTTTCGAGGCCAATGAGGGGAAGGAAAAGGCTGAAAAGGAATGGTGGATTCTAAAGCCTGGGATGAGTGATAGAGGACAGGGTATTCGCCTGTTCAATAGCGAATCGGCCCTGCAGGAGATATTTGAAGGTTGGGAAGACGGCCAATCCGATTCCGAGGATGGCGTAGATAGCGAAGACGGGAACGTTGACGCCAATGCCAATAAAGAATCAGAGAATGATGATAACCGTGATGTCAACCATGGAATCATCACCTCGCAGCTCCGCCATTTCATAGCACAACCATACATCCACCCACCTCTCCTACTGCCATCGGAGTCGAATCGGAAATTTCACATCCGTACATATGTGCTAGCTGTAGGCTCGCTGCAGGTTTATGTGTACAGGGAAATGCTCGCCCTATTCGCTGACAAACCCTACCTGCCTCCCTGGCACAGTAGCGGTGACAGAATTGACGACCTCACCCGTCACCTGACAAATACGTGTCTTCAAACCGATCGTGACGGCACCGCCAAACGGAATGCCGTCCGACGCTTTTGGGCACTTGAGGATACCGCCCCGTCTTCCTTCTCTTCCTCGACGACAGGAGATCTCGACTCCAACACCAACTGGAAAGAAAGCGTATACGAGCAGATATGTGCTGTGACAGGCGAAGTCTTCGAAGCAGCGGCACGGGGGATGCTAGTGCATTTCCAGACGCTACCGAATGCTTTTGAAGTGTTTGGCGTTGACTTCTTAGTTGACAGCTCTGGCAAGGTGTGGCTATTGGAGCTAAATGCGTTCCCGGACTTCCGGCAGACGGGCGATGACCTAAAGGAGGATGTTGTCGGTAGGCTGTTTGAAGCCATAATGGAGGTTGCTGTGAAGCCTTTTTTCGGAATCGAGAAGGATATCGAACGCGCTAGAGGACGGGCTGAGGCATTGGGCTTGCAGCTGGTTAGAGATTTGGATATGGGGATGAGGAGGTGATTGAATGCTCCTTCCACCTGTAGCGCTGAATGTTGATGAACCCACTTGTAAGTATATGGTCAATACTTACCTCTTGCTGCTAATGAGGTAGAAAGTCGGAAAACAGGTTGTTTCCGGCGGGCTGGGCAACTGAGGATCTTCCAGTACCACCCCTCTACGTCACACCATTGGATGTGTTCGCAGGAGGAAACTTGTTTTATTGTCTGTCCCTTTCCCTTTGCGGTCTCAAAGGTTGGAGAGGTGGATGCTGGGTGACCTAAAATACTTCACAGCCGTGCCATTATCGCCGAGAGCAATACAATATCTAGGCTGCATTTTCTTGTGCTTCGAGGATTGGTTGAAGTTATGGCTGTTCTATTTTCTCTTTTTTTTTCTTGTATTTATTATTTATTTATCTACCCTTTTTTTTTTTTTTTTTTTTTTTTTTTTTTTTTTTTTTTTTCAATCTGGACAACAGCGTGCATACCATGGGGCGTTTAGACAGGGAAGAATTTCAAGAAAAGTAGTCCCGTACATTTCAGACAACTACAATTTAGGTTTATAAAATATAAAACGTATCAAAATTGATAGTTAACAAATCTACCTCTCTTCCCAGCCCACACCCCCCATTCTTTTCTTCCATTCCTTTGTGTTCTTCTCGAATTTCGAGAATGTAGCACACGCGCGATAACCGATGAATGTCGAGGCCAGTGGGTAGTTGGAGATTAGCAGCATTTGCCTGCAGTAGTTACTCCGTACAACGAACGAGCCGCCACTCATGCTTTAGGGCTGCCGTTTAAAGCTCAACCGACTTGTGCTGGGGTGGATTGGCTAGTTAACTCCATGCGACTGGGGCGGCATGGACCTGCCTGTTTTTCTCTGGCTTTTCTTTTTATCTCCATTTGCTGACTCGAAACCCAAACAATATACGTCCTCTCTTGGAGGTTCTCTTCTGGTCCTTGCGAGGGCAGAGGCAGACGCTCACTCCCACTGCTAATCCAAGCAGGTGACTGCCCGCCCCTGGCATACCTCAGTTTAACAGCCGATGCTCGAGCTGATTGTGTACAGATCTAAACTCAAGGAGTAAATAACATGGTGATAGTTATGATTGAATAACTTCATAAACAGTTTCTTTGTTGTGTTCATTAATATTGGACGTACGTTGATATACTCTGTACGGAGTAGAGTAGATGCATATGATAATCCAGCTAAGTAAGCCCTATTAAAAATATTTGCGCATGCTGCATGCTTTTTCTTGCCTCTGTAATTATTGGATGCCTTTCCTCTTCAAGTTATGAGCAAGGACATGCCGTTGGGCCCCTTCGATGTACTTGGTATGTACTCGGTACGTACTACTATCTCCTCTCTTGTCTCCATCAAGACCTTCGTCTCGAGTTCTGGACCCTCATTAGTTAGTTACGCAGCGTAGCTTAGGGTCAAGGTTAAAAGAGCCCAAGGAGTATCCACAGAAGTAGCTTCCGGAATTCCAGGGGGACCGATTTATCATCTTTCAAGTTAGTTAACTTAGTTAACTTAGTTACCACAAACAGAGAACTTCTTTTTATTCAACCCGTGCATCCCATTTCTTCTTTCTCTGCGACACAAATATCTCCCTGTCTCTTCCACTTTCATAGCTCTCTATCACCATTTCTCGAGTATCACTCTTTTTTTCGTTCCGGGAAGTCGGGGATTTGTCTATTTGTTTTTTTTTTCATCTAGCAATCAATTGGCCTTGAGAAATGGAAATGTGGCAGTGTTATAATTGAACCTACCCGACGCCGAACGACCAAGCTTCTCATGGTATACCTAACTGCTACCGCCCCCTGCCCTATCTGTACATCGGAGTTACTTATTATCTCGGTCAAGAAGGAGGAAGTATAGCGACTGATCAGAGAGACAGACAGCATAGAACATTACTTGACGGCCGCTTAATCACGCTTTCAAACGACTAGTTATCAGATTCCGCATCAATTGACCTGAATGACACGTACTTGCTGCCTCCGTCTAATAATTCGAATATCCATTCATTTTTGTTTGTGGCGGCCTGTCTCGCTGTCTCTCTCCCTTTCTTCTTCTTCTTCTTCTTCTTCTTCCCCCCTTCGTCTAACCTGACGCTCGTTGCCAGCTGTTCATTCGTTGAGCTAAACACTGAACTTGTCGAACGGCACACAATTTTAAAAAATAAAAAGAACCTTATGTGGGATTCATTTATAAATAACAACGTTTCTGTTTAGCGTTTATAGATCCGCTGGCTTTGTTCTGTTGAATCTCCAGACCTTTTGATTTTCTTAATGACTTCTTAGACTTCCCGGTTACATATGTTTTGACTTCCTGGACTTCTTTCTTTCTTCCTCTCTTTGCCCTATTTCTAGTGTTTATTGTGCTAAAGAGACGGGTGGTTATAATTATTTTAATACCCTTTTCCATTCGTTATCCCTTCATAGGGGGTCTTCCTTTGCTTTCTGTATTTTACCTGGGTTTATTTTATATTCTGCTGTTGCTACTGCTGTCTCGTTCGTTTTTGAGCCTCCCCAACTGGGCATCCCTCTATATTTTTAACAGTTCACCTTTTCCCTTTTCCGCCTTGCTGCCGTCAGAGAAGGGAGTGTAAGAGCAAGAGAGTTCCCTTCGAGATCATTATCTTATGGTTAGGCACACGGACCTTTGCGAACCTTATATCAGGGTTGTTTAATTTGTTCAATTACTCCCCCTTATTGCCTATTGCCCTGATAAGAGTATTTCCCTTCGTTTTTTGCCTTGTACCTTGTTCCCGTTGGCTTTGCCGTGGTCTTATTTTCTTATTTTCTTATTTTCTTGTTCTTTTCTTTTCTTTTCTTTTCCCTTTTTTGCTTCCGGGAGGAACCTACTACTCTACTCGTTTCAATCACCACTCTAGAAAGGGTCTGGCGTTCGGAGAGTGCAATTGCTGCGTTGCTTGTTTTAATGAGAGACGAAGGAACAACCCGACCATCCCACGCGCGACAAAGCAATATAACCCCTTTTTCCCTTTTTCCTTCAGCTTTTTCTCATTTTTATATAGGGGGTTGTTCTACGGATTCTGCCAGAGGAACTGCGGGTTGGCTGTCGCTCCCTCAGGCCGCCTGTCTACGGGTCTTCCCTTCTTGTGCAACTGCGTTTGCTGCTTCTGCTGTGTTTTATATTGCCGTGTTGATGCGTCCGGGCTTCTTTGCCGCATCTGTTCCTTCCCGTTGGTTAGGTTTGATGTAAAGCTCTGTCTTTCTCTTTCCCCACGGTTTGCGGATAAACAAAAGTCTTCTTCTTTCTCTCCTCCTGTTTCATGTTGATTTCAGATCGACCTCAAGATACATCTTCTGCTGTTCTTCAGTGTATTTTGCAAGCCTCGTCTATGTTGCATCTTGCTTATGCCCTCTTGAGATTTGTAATCCGCTTGGTTTAGGCCGGTTACCTTCTCTGTGTTCCGCATTACTCAACACAGCGCGCATCTTACTCACGACGGACGGCCATCCGTTTAGATCGGCATGCCCAGTCGCAATATCGCGTCTATCACGATGGAACTTCAAGTGGAACATGGGCTTGAATTACGGGCTGTGCGGCTTCTGCACTCTTTCCTCCCCATAATCGCTGCGATATATTACTTTGTTGCTTCCTTTGTGAAAAGCATCCCGTCCTCCAAGAAGAGGAAACCGGCTGTTCAACAGCCGAAGCGCCTCAGACTTACACTTGGCTGTATTATGCTCCTTGTACTAGCGACTTATGTAAGTGGTGAAGCGGGATATTCCGTTAACTTACCCCTGGAACTTATAAATGGGTTTGTTGTCATTTTAAGAAATGGAACTGTTAATCTGATAAGTTCTTTTCATGCGCGTAGCTTGGCGATTCAATGGTGTTGATATCTGCCTCGGTTTCAAAAACTGTCGTCTCCCCGCCGCAGGACTCCATCGTGAGTATACCTTGTGCCTTGAGATCCCAGATGTGCGATAGGAATATAGCTAACTGTACCAACCGGTAGATCTTTGCATTGGCTTCCTCTCTTTTTTGGTTCAGCACTATTTTGGCCTATATCGATTCTAAAACCCTCCCAGGCTATCCTCTTTATGGGTCTTGGCTCCTCTATTTTGTTTTTGAACTTGTGCTTCTTTTTCTCTACCTTCGGCTTGACTTCCCTCGAACGAAGTTGTCCAGCGCCACAGCGATATCTCAGGCAATCCGACTGTCTATCCTAGTTTCCCTCCCCTGTATTATTTTCAGTTCTCGCCTGTGTACGGCCAAGAGAGTTGGTGATGATGAAGAAAACACTCCACTACTACGTGACTCTGCAAATGAGATTCAGGGAGATGGGACCGAGAACCCTTACGGATCATGTAATTCGCAGAGTGCTTCAACTGAGACTGCTGGCTCCCAGAAGTCTAAAATAGATCCAAAACGGAATAATCAGGGTAAAGTGGATTTGGAGCGGAAAGAGGTGAATTTGTGGGCCTTTATTACAAACTTGCGGGTATGTCGAAAATTCTATCTTGTGGAATCCGAGATAGCCGTCAACGTTCATACAACTTTGTCTGATTTGGCTAACCATGATATAGGCTATTGTGCCATTCTACTGGCCTTCGAGAAAACCAAAACTTCAACTGCGATATTTGGGTGTTGGCGTCTGTATGGTGCTCCAACGAATCATGAATATCGTCCTCCCTCTTCAGATAGGGCTCATTACCAACATCCTCAGCAAAAATAACGGTACGCAAAGCACCTTGACGTAGCCCGGTTCTAGCCCAGTTTACTCCCACATTTTAAGATTGCTAACGTTCTCGTAGGAATTTTCCCATGGAAAGAACTTTCTCTTTTCGTTGCCCTTCGATTCCTTGATTCCAGCTGTGGTCTGCCTGCGATTACGAAATTCTTGTGGATACCGCTAGAGGAGTATTCATACGAGAATCTGAGCTCAGCAGCATACAACCAAATCATGACCCTGTCAAGCGACTATCATGACAGTAAAAGTTCCATGCATCTCTATCAATTAGTGGCCCGAGGTCAAAGTGTCAATAATATGGTCCGCAAGCTTTGTTTTACCATCGGGCCTATGGTGATTGACCTTGCATTAGCTGTTAGCGTTTTATATTATCTATTCGACGCTTATATGGCTTTGGACGTTGCAGCTATCTCTGTGTTGTTTATGTGGACATCTAGCAAAATATTCGATACACAGGCAAAGAAGCGCCGAGAATTCGTTGCTAACATGACGAAAGAGTTTACCCACTTGGGTGAAACCACGACCAACTGGTACACAGTCTCATATTTCAATCGTATATCCTACGAGAAATCGAGATACTCCTCACGAATTAGCGACCAGTTAGCCTCTCGCCGTCAGCATACGCTCTGGGTACATATGCAAGAGTCTGTTCAATCCCTGCTCTTACTCCTGGGATTGTCAATTGCCTGTTTTATGGCGGTCTATCAAGTTATCAAAGGAACCAAGCCGATCGGAAACTTCATTATGCTTCTTAGTTATTGGGCGCAACTGTCTGGCCCCCTTCAGCTTGTGGCATCTGGGTTTGGAAGCCTGGCTATGGATATGATAGATATGGAAGAACTTTTAGAGTTACTGGAACAGAAACCAACCGTTACTAACTGTGCAAACGCAAAGCCCATGTGTCTCGACCGTGGTGATATTGAATTCGTTGATGTTAATTTTTCATACGATGGAAAAAGAAAGGTTCTCAAGAATGTGAACTTCAAGGTCAAGGCTGGACAGACCGCAGCACTGGTCGGCCAGACTGGGAGCGGCAAAACGACAATTTTGCAGATGCTCAATCGCTTCTATGACCCGACTTCAGGTAGTGTCAAAATCGGCGGACAAGATATTTCTAAAGCCACACTTGAAAGTCTTCGATCAAATATTGGCGTTGTCCCCCAGAACCCCGCTCTTTTTAATGATACCATAATGGACAATATTCGATACGCGCGACTTGGAGCTACCGATGAAGAAATAATTGAAGCTTGCAAGGACGTGGCTCTTCATGATCGGATTTTAACTTTCACCGACGGGTATAGGACGAAGGTGGGTGAACGCGGCCAAAAGCTCTCAGGAGGTGAGTTACAACGTGTTGCAATTGCTCGTGCGATCATCAAGAATCCAAAAATTGTACTCTTGGATGAAGCAACCAGCAGCGTCGACAGTGAAACGGAAGCTCATGTTCAGGAGAGCTTAAACTGCCTTAGGGCAGGCCGAACAACTTTTATCGTCGCGTAAGTTCTCCTATCATCAATGGGCTATTAGCGTTTATTATAATTTGGCTAATCCATCTTCCTCTAAGACATCGCCTTTCTTCTGTGATTCACGCGGACAAAATTATGGTTGTTGAGGATGGCCAAATTGTCGAGGAAGGAAACCACACAGATCTCCTGAACCAGAAGGGTCATTACTACCGACTGTGGACTTTCCAAGGCGGATGTGGTATTCCTATGCAGCGTGGGGCTGAATTTCCTATCGACGCTTTGGATAGTAGAGGAAGCCCATTAGTCCGGGACGATTCTGATGCTGCCGCCATCTCACCGGAAGCCACAGCAAGCAGTGGGAACTGGGGCGATCAGCCCTTAGACATGATCCACGAGCAAGTCCTTGGACCGTTGAGCCAGACCAACCCCAACTGCTCGAGTGGTGTTTCCACAAGAAATCCCATCTCGAAAAAGATTTGGAAGCCAGACGCCCCCGAGTTTGTTCCCCGAGCTTATCAAGCCTCCGTCGCAAGAGCACTACCAGTAACGCATCCTCAACCAACTAGCATCACCCATAACTTTTCCAATAATGGCCATATTAACGGGGAAACTTATCGACCAAGTAACGTTGGAGGGAAGGGTAATGGTGACGGCGACCTTTTCAGTGCTTCTAAGGAAAACGTCCCTCCTGTAGTTAACGATCCTGAGCTCGATTCAATGGAGGGCGGAGACAAAGGAGTCAAGTCATTATCCACAAAAATGACGATGACGTTGGGACAGGGAGGTGATCGACAGGAAACCGCTGAAGCTATATCAGGCTCTGTTGTTGTGCTGCAAAGAGATTTTCAACGGCGTCGGGAAATGACAAAGAGTGAACCTACCGATATTGGCAAGAACACAAGCCAAACCGTCGACGGAAGTAACCCTTTGCTTGATTTGGAAACTGCGGTACCACCCACTCAGCATAAAAGCCAGTCAAGGGCTACTAATCAACGTCGTCGTCGCCGTTACCATAACTGGAGCAACAATGAAAACCGCAGACAGGAAGCCAACAAGGCTAATACCCGTGGTACTGGCTCTTCTTCCTGATTGAAGGCGAGATAGCACCCGTCACACGGCTCGAAATATATTCGAACTTAGCAATACACATCGGATCAGGCAGGAGAAACTTGTTTCGACAACGTGAAATTCGAGATGATCAAAAATGATTGGAAAAAAAAGATAGAGAGTCTTTTAAAAGCCTCGGTAATGACGACTTGATGTTACACTTGAATTTTATGAAATTCCCTGTACATATATACATATTGCTTTCCCAGCGCGGGGTCTCGAGGTTCGATGCTCGGTGTAATGGCTTTCAGGGAGGTTAGGCGTTGAAGGGATATATTACTTAGGTTGTTATCAAGAATAGCCTCATAGCCTATATAACATAGATAAAATCGGGTTATAAATTAACATCTTGAAAGCTCGCTGCTCATTTACCTGCTGATAGTTGGGTATAGACTCCTCAGCCAAATCTTTGCTTGGCCAACGCCTTCAGCACACTCATTGTCTCCTCTTCCCGCCTCCTGTACGCTTTCAACCTCTCCTCCCTTTCCGCCGCCCGCGCCCTCAACAATTCCTCCCGCCGAATCTCCCTCTCATTCTTCTTTCGCATCTCCTTCTCCCTCTGCTTCTTCAGTGCCGCAAGATCGTCTCCACCTGCACCGCCACCGCCCATCAGCTCGTCATCCCCTACTATACCATCATCGTCACCGCCCGTCTTCGACTCTGCAAAAGCACGATTGGCAGCGGCGGTCTCGCGCTTCTTTTCCAAGCGCCGCTCGCGAGTGCCGGGTTCAGCGCGCGGGGCGATTTCTTCCTCTGCAGAGCGTATTTGAGCCTTGTGGGCGGCCCGGGCGAGGGAGGTTTCCTTGCGCTGTGTTATGAAAGTGGTTGTTTGAGATTGTTTTTCGGATTCTGTTTGTATGGGGGTTAGTTTGGGTGTGGGTTATTTAAACATTTGGGAGGGTGCGCCAGGAAGGATTCGGGTGGATTTTAAAATTGAAAAGGGAAAGGGAAGCGAACCTCGTTGTAGTTGTAGGTCTTGGAAGCTTGGGATTGTCGGGCCAGATTTTTGATCTGCCCCGCTACTTCTGGCGATGGCAAGTGAGGAGTCAGGTGTTGGGGGCTTGGGGCCGTATGATTCTTCTTCCTCGTCTTCGTCTTCGTTTTCTTCTGTGTCTTTGGATCTTCGGTCTAATGATATGACACTGCTGGTTGAGCGCTCCCGCCGGGTTTCACTTGTATCCTTCCTACCAGGTTTTGCGTAACGTTCTCCATAATCCGGGGAAGCCCGGGCTCCAGGCGAAGAGACACGCTGGTAATTTCCGGCCGCGCTGTCTTGCTGTGCCTTTTGGAACGTGCTCGGATCGTACCAGCCCTCGGCGAGTTCTCCACGGTTCCTCAGATGTGTCAGTACCAAGTTGCTCTTTTAAGGCTAGGGCTTTACAACACTCCCACCACCCAACAAAAGAGAATGAAAGGATAAAAGTAAATCACGAACGATGGGACACGAATGATGAGAGGCAGGGGAAACCAGTCGCCTTACCATTTCCCCATAAAACTCTTCCACCTGCCCTTTACCTCCCGCTTATCCAGATCCGTTATATCAATGTTCTTCTGTATATCCAGATACAGCGCGAACATGGGCTCAAGAAGCTGCAAGTCGTGCTTGGATAGCGGCCTGGCATCGAAGGGGAGGGTGACTGGTGCTGCCACTGCCCGTCTTTCTTGTTCTCGCCTGCTGTGCTTCCTGTTTCTTCTTTCTGGGGAACGGGACCGTGCGTCTCTGTCATCGCTGGCACGGCGGTGGCGGCGATGGTGATCGCGACGTCGAGAATGCTGGGGGGGAGGGGAGTGTGAGGAGTATACCGGTCGCGAGCGTGATAGTGAGCGCGATCGAGATCTGTAGCTCCAATATTCATCCCGATGGTGTCTGGATGCATCCATGGTGGCTGTGATGGTGGTGTTTACTGTTGTATATCTGGGGTGGTGGTGATCGCGCAGGTAGTGGAAACTTTGGAGGTTGGAAAGTTGCAACTTGATGCCAAGACGCCGAGTCTGGATCCCAAGCTAAAATGGTTATGGGAACTTCCATAACATAACTGCACAGGGCAAGTTTCCGAATTACCACTCTATATAATTATAGCTACAAATGAGAAATATGATACGAGAAGCGTAGTATAATTTAATAATAAGATTAAATGGGCTTGCTCCAGCTAATCCCAGCTAAAACTAACACAAATTGCCCTAGCAATAGAGTACATAAAACGCATTTAAAGAAAAAGGGACCATTCCAATGGCAACCGGCTGAATATGTTTTGGACTGAATCAGTGTTTGACATTTATATCCGCCTCAGAAAATTGATATCTTATCTAAAAACATACATCGCTTAGCTAGCAGGAGCATTTGCCTGCTGGTCATCGCTGGAGCTTGCGTTCTCCACCGTAGCATTCTTGGATTTATTGGCAGCGGCCATCTGCCATGCAGGGATGCTTGCAGGCTTTCCAAGTTGTGAAAATGGGCTGCTGGAATTCTCTCTGGGTGTAGGAGTTGGCACATGTTGTGGTGCGGGGGTGGATACAGGAGCAGGTGTGGCAGTTTGTGATGGAGGAGCTGTCCCGTTGGGGCGATTTACGGATGTATCTTGACTTGGTTGAGGGATGGTGGAGGTGGGCCGTGGCGTAGAAGAAACTGCTGGGACGCTGCTGGATGCCGAGCTAAGTCGATTTCCGAGAAGGACTTTCAAACTTCTCAGCTCGTTACCCAGTTCCTTGAGTCTCTTTTCGTTTCCTTCCTTTGCGCCATCGATGGCTTTGGGTATGCTGTCTTTTAAACTCTTTACTTCCTCCCCAATACGTCGGGTGTCCTCATCCCGCCGTCGTGAAGAAGTTTTTAAATCTGAAATCACATTTTCCACTTCGCGAAGTGCAGTATCGAGGCGCTCGGTTCGTGCGTCTTCCGTTGCCTTTAGGGTTGCTGTGTCGCTTGACAGCTGATCGAGGAGAGCAAAAGCACGAGAGAACTGCTCGTCAATGCTCTCTTTGTCTTGTTGTAGTTGAGGAGGGGTGGGAGGGGAGATAAGTGGTGTGATATAACGCTGTGATTTTGGTGTTAGATTTACAGTGTTCACGGACCAAGAACAAGAAAACCCCTTACTTTAGCAACAGCATATAAGCCGTATCCAACGCCACCCATCACAGTAGCCATAATAAACCAATCTCGCCAATCCCGTTTCGGCAATCTACGGAGGGGATCAGCTGTAGCACATCGAAAACTGAAAACAGAGTATGTAGAAATGCAACTTACTCTGGAGGAGGCGGTATAGGCTGCCATTGACCCCCGGGTCCGTATGCATAATTTTGACCATATTGCGGAGGCCGTGGTCGGTAATTGGATTGCTGAACTGCAGTGCTTGGGGGTGGATTCTGAGCAACAGCCGCAGACGAATCCTCGCCTACTCTCGAGAGTGCTTGGTCGATCTCTTCTTGTGTTAAATTTTTTGATTGTAGGAAAGCAATCTTTTTGTCCAAGGGTGCAGAGGAAACCGATGGGTCTTGGAGGACTATGTGCATTAAATTGCCTGTTAGCTATCGACTCTTGAAAGCCTTGAGGATCGTATATCAAACAACGTACATGAAACCTAGAGCAGAATATTGTCAGTGAGTAAATGTACAATGACACAAAGCATGGGAAGCACACATACCGCAGAGGAAACAAGTTCCTCGCGAAGAGCCATGATTGCCTACACCTTTCACTTGCAGCCCGACCTGAAGGTATCACCAGCGCAAAGGGTCCACAACGAAACCGGCAAAATGTTCGCAGCCTGTTCTTAACCAAAATATGTTGTTGTACTCCCATCCAGCGATCATCATTTCTTCATCTCTGTGTCTATTAGTTGATGGAGACGTGAAAGTCTAGGGGAGCAGGAAGACTCGGGAGGTCTTTTCGCGACAACCCCATGCCGAGAAGGCAAAAGCCGAGGCTGGAGCTGCCCGGAGTCTCGTGATAGCTGATTACGGAGACATATTTTTCCGACTAGAGGGCAGCGCCAAGATTGAAATGGTTTGTTTACTTCGCAATACATCCCAACTGGCAAAACGCGACGACACCTACGATATAAAACCTGCGTTTGTTGTTTAAGAGCTGACGACTTGGCCATCTGATGGCATTTACTTGACATAAAATTGCACGTTCAATTAATATCGTTTTTGGATTACGCTCAGTGACCTGCACAGGCGCGGGGTGAACTCACCGGAGCAGACGCTATGTCGCAAGACACTGGGCTGTTCAGTATCCGGCGGCCTCGAGAGGTACATCTATGAATTATTTTGCTAAGTAATAAGCGGCAAATAAGTTGATGTGTACTAACGCAGTCTTTGGCGCAGACCCTTGCGAATGTCCAGAACCTATCCTCAATCCCTCAACCTGCCTCTGCACTTAAACGAACGAGTTCCGCCGCCAACTTCCAAAATCCACCATACACGTCTCACCATGTGCGCACAACTTCCATCGGCGGCCAAGGCTTTGGCCGACCACAACAGCCAGTTTTCCAGAGGTCTTCATCTGGAGCTGACAACGGGCTCTCATCTGTCCGACGGTCTGTTTCAAGCAACATCTTTCACAGCGCCAGCGTTGGCCGTCAAAGCTATGCACCTGTGTCCTCCCATCCAGTTCCCCCTCCGCAGCTACAACGGCGAAGCAGTGTTTTCTCGCGCCAGTCAATAGGTGGCCCAATGAGCCATCACCAGTCATTCTTCACCCAAGCTCCTGCTCCTGCTGGTGTTCCTAGAGACCCACGCCCGCTCAAAGACAGAGCTTTCCAGGCGCGAATTGGACAAGAACTGTTAGAATATCTGACGCAAAATAATTTTGAGCTAGAGATGAAGCACTCCTTAACGCAAAACACGCTGAAATCCCCGACTCAGAAAGATTTCAATTACATTTTCCAGTGGCTTTATCGCAGAATCGATCCAGGTTATAAATTTCAGAAAAATATTGATGCCGAAGTTCCTCCTATCCTCAAACAACTGCGTTACCCATTTGAGAAGAGCATCACAAAGTCCCAAATTGCGGCTGTTGGTGGTCAGAACTGGTCGACTTTCCTAGGCATGCTTCACTGGATAATGCAACTAGCACAGATGCTTGATCGGTATTACTTGGGACACTACGACAGTGCATGCGCGGAAGCTGGTGTCGACATCTCTGGCGATAATATTATCTTTCATTTCCTGTCCAATGCCTATCGCGACTGGCTTCAGGGAGGTGAGAATGAAGATGATGAGGTGGCGGAAAGACGCCTTATTCCCCATATTGAAGCAATGGCAGCAGACTTCGAGCGGGGAAATGAAAAATATGTTCAGGAAATGCAGGAGCTTGAAGCAGAAAATAGGGAACTGCGGGATCAAATCGAGGAAATGGAGAAGAATGCGCCGGATATGGCAAAATTGGAGAAACATTTCAGGATTTTGGAGGATGATAAGAGAAAATTCGAGGACTACAATCAGAATGTCCAAGGGAAGATCACCAAGTACGAAAATCGCATCAAGTTTCTTGACGAGGAGATAAGCAGGACCGAGGAGGAGTTTCAGAAGGCTGATGAAGAACGCATGGACCTGCAAAATAGCGTGGATAAGCAGGGGATTACAACTCAGGATATCGATCGCATGAATTCCGAGCGAGAACGACTTCAGAAAAGCGTAGAGGATATCCTTGTTCAACTTGAAGACACTCATGCTCGGGTTATGGAAAAGGAGGCCGAAGCTAATAAAAGGCTTGAATCCCTAGAGCAAATTGTCAAAACCTTTAACACTCTTGGCTATCAAACTAGCCTGATCCCAGCAACAGCGGCGAACGCCAAGGGCCAGGACTACGAGCTTCACCTAAATCTGAATGAAAATAACTTTTCTTCATCCCAGCTGGGGACTTCTCGGACCTCGCCAGAAGGCGATCGTTTGCTTGCCGACACTTTCACCGGATATCATCCAACGAACCTCTTGAACCTCGACCTCCGTGGCCTTGTTCGTAGCAACTTCATCGCTCTACGGAAAGAAATTAATGAACGACGCAAACTTGCTCTAGATGCGGATATGAATCACCGGGACCTCCTGGATAATATCAAGGAGGCCATGGATGAGAAAAGGAGTGAAGTGGAGGCCCTTGAACACAAACGACGCGCAGCAGAAGAGGAATTTGAGAGCCTTAAGGAAATTACGACAACCCAAAAGTTGACTTCTGACTCCCAAATTGAAAAAATGGAAAAGGAGCTTGCGAAAATGCGAGCTACTCTGACCGAAAGCGTTCAGCTGATGGAGCAGCGAGAGATGAATACCACCATCGAATATGAGCAACTAGTTCTTCGGGCGAATGCTCTCCGTGAGGAGCTCCATACCGGGGTCGAAACGATGTTGAACGACGTTATCCGCTTCAAGGTGCACATTCAGAAGAGCCTCGAGGATTATGAAAGCTTCGTTGTGGATGAAGTTGAGCAAGAACTTGGAGGTGACGGCGAAGGGGAGCGGGAGGCTTCCAATGACGAGGATATGTAGGTAAACTATGGACGGCATTGGTACAATTGGTTTACGAATCATGATAGCATTGGAGCCATGTTTTATGGTGGTATATTTTGTTTTGAACTAAGACTTTGGGGAGTTTTCTTATCGGAACTGGTGCTTTGTTGGGAGTATGGAATGCATCTTCTTGTGGCATACTTCTTGATGGACAGATTACTTAGGGTTTACCTTGACGTGTACCATGCTCTTCCTGTAGTAAATATATTCAAAGATTTCAGATTTTCATTCCAATGGAATGGAATCTCGGATTTCTAATGGCTGACTAAGCTCTTCAAGCCGTTTTTTTTTTTTTTTTTTTCAAGCGCATGAAGTCTGAAAGCTTCAACTTTTAACTTTAAACAATTTGGAGCAAGTTAACCCTCACTTTGCAACGCCATTGCAAAATATCTTGATGGACTGGGATGCTAATATCTTCCAAGTCAAATATGCAACGCCTCATCAGCGTAATATCTCCTCCCGTGCTCCTTCATAGGTCTCTTCACCTGCTCCCCCACGTTTCGATCGTGTCATGCAGGCTTGCCTGCGCCCAGGCCGCGCAAGATATTTAGGCCATAGACTTCGCCTTGTTCCGGGCTCTGCGATTATCCCGTCATGGAAACTTGTCGGTTTCCGTTCACGAAATTTTGGCCCTCCTCCCTCCATCGACAGCGTAGCGACCCTATTGGTTCGAAGTTGGAACAAGGAGCGACCGTTGCCCGTGCCGCCCGAGGAGAAGAAGAACCCATTGCGCTGGATTTCAGAATTGGAAAAATTTATCCCTTCGGAACTACGTGAGGATGCGAAAGACGACGATTACCTGGAAGAAAAGCCGGAGCAGGAGAAATGTCTGGTTCTTCTAGACCTTTTGGATCACGCTCGGAGCCCGGACTCCCTTGGTTATGATCTGCTGGCACACCTAGGTGTCAAACTCGGTAAATGGCCCGCAGTTCATGCGATAGTCAACAGACTGCTTGACAATGCCGAGGAAGCCGAAAAGCCTTTCTCAAGCCAAGGAACGGGTTCGCTCCCATCAAACATCGATTGGGCAAGTCTCGGGTCCTTCGACTCGATGACGGGTGATGAATGTGCGAAGCTTCGGGCTCCCGGAATCCTGCAAATTGAAGGGCAGATATCGTTGAACTCGATTGATTCGCACACAGATGGTCCGCGTGTTACAAGCCGAATGGGAGAGAAATCCACTCGAATTGGGACGATGGAGGAACTATGGCCCGCCTTGGGAAGCATAGTGCTCGAGGCAGCTGATCTGCCGCCGGAGGAATCGCGAACTGCAATGTTTTATTTCTATCGGATTGTTGCCCGCCTACATCACCTAGATTACATCCCGCATGGAGTATACAAATACACTAAGTCGCACGTTCCAGAACAGTTGAATCGTGGTACCCCTGCCATGCATCTTTTATCATCCCACATCATGAACGTTCTATCAGATGCTGTTTGGATAGGCAATGAGGTTGATACGGCCGCGTTTGCTTTAGCTACTGGAAAAGACGTGTCAGCAGCAACCAAGTACAAAATACAAGTCCGACCACTTGGGCCCGAAATATGGTTGGAATTTATCTTGTGGTGCTGTGTAGAAGGAGGGTTCAATATTGAAGGTTCCTGGATATTGAGACAATTAGCAATTAAAAAATCCCGATGGTTCGTTGAGAGCTTTGCGAGCCACTCCATCCACTTAGATGCGATCACTTCGTCCAAAATCGACCGATATGATACCTGGGCTACTTGTGCCTGTGGGTCCAAAAGTGCAGATGTTAGTGCGTCGGAGGGTCCTTTTGTAGGCCTGGGCAGGCGGACAATAAGCAGCGAGGTGGTCACTTCAATGATGGATGGGCTTAATAACAGCGTCAAGGTCGGCGTCGGACATCGAGGAGTTTATTATACCTCCATTCTTGATTACGTGGAGTCTCTAATGCAGCTATTAAAAGAAAATAATATCTATTTAAGGCCGCGAGACGTTGACCATCTCGTCGTTCGCATGATAGAAGCTCGAGGGGTTGTGCCGGAGGTCGACCCTAAATCTTTTGAAGATGTGTTGAAGCTTGCTTCAAACCTTCCCAATATTGTGCCTGACGAGTCACTACAACCAAATACCCGTTCCCACCCCCTTGACAAGTCTGGGGTTGTTTTAGGGCTATATCATTATGTATTGGAATCATATGCCAATACG